TTGAGCCTCACGAACCTCATCAAGCGAAGGTAGATCTTGCTCTGCACCTTGTGGACACTGAACATCAAGTATAGCAACTGCCGAAGGCACAGAATCCTCGTCTAAAAAATCCACAGATGCTGGAACAATAGGCTCATTAGAAATATGAGAGGAGAGTGAAGAAGGAAGAGGAGCTCGAGAAAGGGCATCAACATCAGCCATAAAACTCCCTGGGCGGTGAATAACATCAAAATCATATATGTGAAGCTTCAAAGCCCACCGAACAGTACGACCAACTAGGTTCTTCCACTTTAATAATGAAGTAACAACAGCATGGTCACCTTCAAGTAACGTCTGAGAACCATGTAGATATGCATGAAGTTTCTCAAAACCCCAAACTGCTGCTAAACACTCCTCTGTCGTGGAGTAGTTCATCATTGCTAGTTGTAATGTACGGCTTATATATGCAATGGGATGGCGCTGATCAAGCACACTTGAGCTCTCTTGCATTAACACACCTCCAAGACCAATGTCAGAAGCATCCACTTGCAAAATAAAAGGTCGAGTGTAGTCAGGATATGCCAAAACCGGAGGAGTTGTCAATAATTCTTTGAGATCCCCGAATGCCCGCTCACAATCTGAAGACCAAATGAAAGATGACGTTGATGACTTTAGCAACGCTCGCAATGGTGCAGTGCGATCAGAAAGATGATCCACAAAACACTCGAGATACTGCACCTTGCCCAAGAAGCGCTACACATCATTCACACACTTCGGAGTAGGGAACTTTAGAACAGCCACAAGTTTGTCAGGATCAACTTGCAAACCCTCACGAGAAATACGGTACCCAAAATAAGTTGTGTCCTTGGATCCAAACACGCACTTCGACCGCTTCAGCTTTAAACCAACGTCGCGTAGCCGATCCAACACTTTACAAACATCACAAACGTGCTCCTCCCACATCCCCTCTGAGTGGATCAAGACATCATCAATGAAATCAGCAGTCACCTCCAGCATATTGCAAAGAACCTCGTCCATCATCTGTTGAAAAGTTGCTGGAGCATTGTTCAAACCAAATGGCATCACCAAGAACTCATACAAACCAAATGGTTTACGAAAAGCAATCTTAGGAATATCTTCTTCAACCATCAGTACTTGCCAGTACCCAGAAGCAAAATCTAGCTTGGTGAACCAACGACTTCGCCCCAAACGATCTAAGAGATCAGTAGTGTGAGGAAGAGGGTACACATCCGGGATCGTTATGTCATTTAACAGACGATAGTCGATGCAGAAACTAATACTCCTATCAGGCTTCGTCACAAGATGAGGTTCACATGCCCAAGGACTCCGCGACTTCCGAATAACACCCTTCTCCAACATCTTTTTGACATTTGCACGTAAAATCTTGATCTCCTTTGGTGACCAACGACGAACAGGAACCTTGATTGGACGAGCATCCCTAGTTGGAATCAGATGACGTGTGGCAATCTTGGCTCTAGACGATAGGTCAAAGTCAAAGAGATCAGAATACTCCTTCATGAGCTTGTCAACTGCTGCAACACAAAGATCGTCGGAGGGATCGGAAAAGGGAAGAGCAGAACAAGATGGAAATACAGGAGGAAATAGTGGGGAAACAAAAGTAATGGAAGCAGAGGTAGAAGTAGAGGGACAAAAAAGTACTGAAGTGAGAGGAATGGATGAAACATAAGGAAGTACGAGACAAGGGGGAGAAGCCTCAAAGTCACATTTGGCATGATTGCGCTGCAACCAATCCATACCAAGAATGAGGTCAAAAGCTTGACTTGGCACCACCCACAACGACTGCAACTCAAGCTTGAGATTGCCCACACGCACAACCAGGTCTGCCTCATCCCGTGCACATGCATGTATACGGCTATTGCCATAAAGAATGAAAACTGGTTCCGCCGCACGCGCAAGTGTAGATGACAATGTGTGGCAATAGGTCGAGCAATAGAAGATAAACTCGAACCTGTATCAACCAATACAGAGAGAATAATGAAAGACCTCTTGTTATAAAGACGAGCTTGGAAATTAAACATTGGATGAACTGGTGCCGAGTGAACCCCTTGATGATACTCCCAAAAGAAAGATGGAGGGGTCACTGACTTATTCGCGTAAGGTTCCTCCATTACTCGCGTGACTCCTCGTTTCCCGGATGCATCTCAGTGTCCAAACCTTCCATTGCAGCAGCACCAACGGGACGTTACTGACGCCAAGGTCTCCACCCAGGAAATGGAGGTCGCCAATCCGGAAAACGCTGACAACGCCGATAAGTATGACCAACTTCATCACATGTTCAGCAGCGAACATCACGGCCACGACCACGTCCTCGCCCGTGACCTTGGACTCGAGCAGCAGCAGCATCAACCTCCATTGGAACAAGACCATCACCCACAGAAAGTGGAGCTGAAGGACGTGCAGCGAGAAGTGGAAGAGGCGATGTCTCATAACGTTGTGCCAAGCGAAGAGCATCATCAAGGGTGGTAGGAGCAAGTGCATGCACAAGTCCGACAAGATCTTGACAAAGTGCTGGCCACAACATTCCTAGCTTGATCCGCTCCGACATATTTGGCTCCGCACGAAGCAAAAGACTTCGGAAACGAACACCAAATTGCATCACCGACTCAGATGGCCCTTGGTGAAGACGATGCAATTCTTGGAAAGCATCATCACAGTTATCGGCATGTTCAAAGGCGCGTTTGAAGACATCCAGAAGAACACTCCAATCCCTGCGAGTGGCTGCTCCCAAACCGTTGTACCATTGCAACGCCGTCCCTTGGAGACACGTGGGAAACTCACGCAAACGTCAAGCATTATCCCAAGAATGATATGTGGCAATCACTGTAAAGTGATCGAACCAATGGTACACATCATATTCTAGCTTTTTGTCATTTTTTTTCTTTTGCTCTTTCTTTTTCATTCGTCTCCATGGCAGATCAACAATCTCCTCCTTTGACTCTGGAGCAGCAGTTAGTACAATTGCTTAATGCTATGTGCTTGCAATTGAACAACCAAACTTAGTTAATGGCGGCGTTTATGGCACATGGTACAACTCCTCTTGCTCTTGGTGCCAATCCTCGTGTTCGGCCAAAGTTCTTTCACGGGAATCCTGGGGATGCAAAAGCTAAATCTAAACCAAAATCGTGAAAGGAAATAACAAAAGAAAGGAAATAGAAAAAACTAGATCTAGACAATGCAAAAGCTAGATCTAAATTGAAATCCCAAATCCAAGCACTCCCCAGGGACAACCAAAGGTGCCCCTCACCTCCACCAATGTGAGTGCATGGAATATAGAAAGGGAATATAGAAATGTGCATATCAATTAACCTAAAAACCCTAACTTATATATAGGAGCGAGTGGTCCGGATTGAAACCAATCCGACGGCTACCAAAATCCTACTATGCTAATATTAGTATATGGCATCGTAATCGTACATTTGGCCCTCACAAATTAAAATTTCAGAAAATAACTAAAAATATAGCTTTTACTTTTTTAAATTAACAATTATATATATTATTCTAAAGATATTGTGTTCATGGCCAAGTATGTATTTATAAATTAAATTTTCTTTGCAATTAACCTTTTAATCTCTATAATATATAAAAACATCACTCACAACCTAAATATTAGGATGAAGAGTGGGCTTAAGTTTTATTTAATGTAGTGCTATTAATTATTTTTCCCTTTTGTTTATCTAGTTTCACAAATTTAATCTTGCTATATTTATTTTTATTTTATTTGCACAAATCAAATGAATATTAAAGTTGTGAGGCTTTTTATTGTTATTATAGCAAAATGTAATATCAAAAGGAGTTGTATTAAGGATAACTCTTAATTAATTATGCTTTTAAAGTTCTCTTACTGTTAGCATGGAAATCAGGGATGGGTGTTTTGCATGGCTTCGTGCCTAGAATTTCCAAATACAAAGCCTTTTTTTTTATCTAAATGCTCTTCAGTATTAATACTGCCTTGCAAGACTGAAAGTGCAATGTGGATTCCCATTTTGCAACATCATTCCAACTAAAGTTTAAAGTTAGCATAATTATAAATAATATTACAAGTCATCCTTTTCATTTTTAATTAAACTAATTAAAAAGGCACCTTTTTGAGAATAAGTATAAATGTGTGGACCCAGAATGTGTACACTAGGGTTTATTGCATCATGAAGAGAAAGGCGCAGGACGCAGAGATCCCCATGCTCGATGATCTGGAAGACGAGGTCCAAGGCGACGGATGGGAGTACGAGGGAGGCTTGGCTTGCCCTCCTTGGGACCCGGAAGCTCTCAAAAGCTTCTGTGCCATGGAGGACTGGTGTGGAGAGCCGGTGATGGCGAGAGTCAAGCCCAAAGAGCCCGCGAACAAGCCCAAGATTTCGAGCAATCCCGAGAGGCCAGAGACTCTGAGCAAGCCCAAGAGAAAGAGTTCGAGCGAGCCCAAGACTCCAAGCGAGCCCAAGCGGCCAAATATTTCGAGCGAGCCCAAGAGGCCCAAGACTTCGAAAAGCTGTGGTGGTGAGGCCAAGACGAGGAAGAACGCGTCCGCAAAGGTGACGCCCGAGCTGCGAGCGCTGCTAGCGAAGGTGAGAGCTACGCTGCCCGAGCAAATCGACTGCCCGTGGTGTGGGCGCATCTGGTGCACGAGGTTCTACGATTTCAACAATTACAAGCCTGGGCAGCCGAGGTACCACTGTAAGCCATGCAAGCTTACCTGGACCAAAGACAAGGTGCCAAGGCCAAGGAGCAAAAGGCTAGCATTCTAGACCATCGATCCACATGTTTCTTCTCACCTTAGATCAAAGAATCATATACAAACTTTTCTTACACGCTCGCTCATTGGAGTTTGTCTGTGAGCGCGTTGTTGGCACTGGAAAGAAAGAACGAAGGGGAATTTGATTTACCAGAATTTCTAGCTTGCTACACCCACTTGGAATATCAGAAATGAAGAAACGAGGAAAAGAAAAGAAAAGAAAACAGAACGCTACGTTTATACACCACGCATCTTTAAAATTTTAAAGCTTTTTGGATTCATAGTATAAAGCAAGAACAATGTAGGCAAAGTATTGCAACTTCAAACAGTAGAGTCTTTCATAATTTGCTTCCCAAGTGCGAGAAACAACTGTAAAATTTCCAGTGTCAAAATTTTCGAAGAGCCAATACAAAGAATCTCGTGATGCTCTGCGAGGCATCAATCCGAGCCATGACTCGCGTTCCAACTTTGCAGGAAGCTCTTACCGGCTTCGTACGTGGACCAGCTGATGGCTGCCGCAGGAGTGTGAAACAAAACTCTAGGCTTTAACCCCTTGAACAGGGCCGCCGAGCCCTCACGGCGAACAATCTCCTTCACCACTTGTGTGACGGAGCTGGTTGAATACTTGGTTGCACCGCAAACACCCTGAGAACAGCCACATCCAGAATTCAGAGCCATCGCAACTAAACTAGCATACGAAACGAACACTCATCTACATGCACAAGCATCCTAGAACTCAAGAAAGAAACGCTAAACCAGACCACAAGAACCAACACTATAAACTCTAAACAAAAAATACAACTCTGTGAAAGCAAAACTTTCAACTTCCAATCATCTAAGAAGAGTGGAACAAAGAAACAACTGAAAGCTTGATGAAACACTCGCTCTCAGAGAGAAAAGAGACACATACCTGGCACTGGAGCCTCGTCTTGACAACATCAAACGGGGTAGTGATCCCACTCGCCAGCGCTCCGGCGGTGCCACCGGCGGCAACATGCGTCAACAAGTGATCGTCCCCAGCCTGATCCGGATACAACTCGGACAAGATCTTCTTGGCAGCCTCATACGCCGCAAAGTGTACCCCGGTGAACGGAATGTTCATCAAAACCGTGGTCCTGTACGAGGCGTAGAACCCCGCAAGCCCCTCGCTCCTGTAAATCCTCGCAACGCAGTCCGCCACCCCCTGGTATGGACTCCGGCTTAGCTGCAACCGCTGCTTCACCACGTCCATGGGCGTGAGCACCGTGTCGCTAGCGACGGTGGCGCAAGCCCCGGACGCCATATGAGCTAGAGGCTGGTGGCCATCGCGGTTGCCTCCAAACTTCTCCTTGAAGAACTCGTAGCATCCAAAGTAGACCGCGTGGGACGGCCCAGCGCCGAGAACCATGGCTCCCAATCCTCGGTAGAACCCCGCCAGACCTTCCAGGCGCATGATCGATCCCACTGCCTTGGTGAGCGATGGAACTGGGGAGCCGCACGGGCAGGACGAAGGAGCCGATAGCATCTGCACGCGCGTCTTGACAGTGTCGACCGGGAACATTGCCGTGTGCTCTACCACGCCGGCGATGGATCCCGCCAGCATGTATTGCCGAAATCCCAAGCCGTCGTGGGGACCTTTCTCGTGCGCCATTGCTCTAGCGTAGGCGGCGCCACTGATGGACAGCGGGAGATTTGTCTCTGCTGCCATTGCCAATGGCGCTGCTGCCCTGAGAGGATCCAAAATCGCGAGAGAGAGAGAGAGATCAAACCGATGGATCGCCCGAGATTTCCCTGAAACGTACCATGAGATCGAGCGAGCAAGCACGCGCCAATGCTGCCGATGCCAATGCCGATACCGCGCGGCGCAGGTTAGAATAAAAACCCTAATCCTCTTCTCCTCACCCGGAGCCCTATCTTTCAAATGGACGGCACAGCTTGCGCCACGTGGTACCTCAAATTCGGTGCCATGTCACAAAACACGTCAGCTTGTGGGCCAAGTGGCCATACATATTTGCGCCACGTGGAAGGTATATTTTCTACATCTGTACCTTGTTTGCCATAGCGATGGTGGGTCCTTTATACTTTATTTGGTGTTGTCCAATCTCCTCAGCGCTTTCATATCAAATCTTTTCGCCCCAGTCGTCAACCCCAAATTGAAATGCAAGCTGCAAGGACAAAAAGCCGCAAAATCCCCCGGTTTAGCTCTAATGCCCCCGATTAGCCGCGCCTTAGCTCCTAAATTCCAATTGGCCGCTCTAATCCCACCGGCATTGTACCCTGTCCTCCACACCAGAAATACATACACGGTGACTTCACTCACCACGGTACACACTTGCCACAAAACGTGGTGACCCCGGCCCCCCAAAAAGGGAAAGCTTTCCCTCCCTGGCCATGGCTGCCAGGTGATAAAATCGGGAAATAAAGCCCCGGCCACGTGGCGTCACGCGGGTCGCAATCCTCCGCCGCGTCACGCGCCACGTCGGGCGACGACGTGGCATGGCCCCCACGGTACGGACGGCGAGCGCCGTTAGATTAGCGGAATCTTAGACGGAGTTATTACGCTGCTCATCGTTGTTGCCAAAAATCCTAGCGACGAGCGCCCGCCAGGGGCGGCCGTCCACCGCCTTGATTCCTCCTCGCTCCATTCCTCGCTCGATTCGCGATTGATTGATTGATCTCTCTTTCTTGCTCCTCGCCTCGGGCTCGCGCTCTGATTTCTAGGATTTCCTCCGCTGCCGCATTACTGCGGGCCTCGTGAATATTACGCGCGATTGTACACGCCAGGGCGGAAGAACAGGCGCCAGCCAGCGCTCCCCCCCTTCCAAATTCCGGAATCCGGATGCCTGCGCTGGGATCGAGGCGCGGCGAGCGAGAGAGAGAGAGAGAGAGAGCGCTGCCAGTGGCGGAGGCTGGAACTAGGCCAGGCCAACAGATTCTCGAGAGCGCCGTTTTGCTGTTCTGGTCGGAGGCGTGAAGATCTTCGCCCGTGCCGTGCCGTGCCGTGCCGTGCCGTTCCTCTCTTGTGAGTATAAATCTTTAAGTCTGTCTGTGAGTGTGTGTGGGAGGAAGAGCGAGAGAGAGGGAAGAGCGTCGTCGTCGTCGTCGTCTTCAAGTGGAAAGAAGGTTTTTCTTTCTTTTGTTTGTCTCATGGAAAAAAGAGAGAGTGTGGGTGTGCATTTTCGGGATCCGGGTATACTGGCTTTCATCCATTCCTTCTTCTTCTTCTTCTTCTCTTTGCTTACTTCCTTCAAAGCTCCTCGTCTCTCCTCGCTGCTGCTGCTGCTAGAGCGATACCAGCATTCTAGATCCAGTCGCGAGCGAAAAACGATAAAACACAAGAGGAGATTGAGCTTGTCAATGGTCGCTGGATTAAAATGTGGTGACAGGTTTGAGCTTGGTAACAGGGGAACCTAGACTGTAATTTGCTGCTTGCTTTGATTCCCTTCGTCCTTCCACCGCCATTCCAGTCTTTGCAGTCACTGTTTCCGAAAAGTTTCGAGAAAAGGAAGAACACTGCTTGGACGCAAGCTCGTCTTGACTCGTTGTGGTGGTTTGGATTTGTGCATTTGCGCCAAGGATTTCGAGTTTCTTGTCTGCTTTCGTCTGGAGGAGATCGATGTATGCTTGTGCTCTAGGTTCCCTTGTTTCCAAATTCAAGTCTGGTACCAGTCAAGAAGTTTTCTGTTTGATTCTCGATTCAGAGCTTGGTTCAAGTCTGGTACCAGTCAAGAAGTTTTCTGTTTGATTCTCGATTCAGAGCGTGGAGCTTACACAATTCGCGCATCGCACGCAGCATGGTGAGAAAAGGATCTATCAAAGTCCTTTACTGTTCAAGAACAGGTGCCTGCTTCCAAATTTCTTATCTTTTCGTACTTGGCTATTCCTTGACGGTGCCATTTTGCTTTTGTCCTCTAGGCATGCAGCGAGGAGCAAGTGATCGTCCGGCACGCCTCTTCTTTTTGTATCCATGGTATATACTCTTCGATGAATCTATCTAATTCCTGCTGGTTTTGATAGATGCAGTGGAGTCGCTTTTGTTCTTGCCTGGTGATGCATCTCCGAGTTTCATCGAGGGTCACTGGAGACTTTTGTCTGAGAGAGAGAACACTTGCCTTCGCCTGGAGACTTTTCGCATTGCTTGCCTTTGTTTACAGTGCCCGACCTGCCTAGTGCACATAGTATATGCGCTGCATCCACATATTTTGCATTATTTGGAGCATGATTTGTCTGCTCGCAGGGTCGACATATCTGATTGGGATTACTGAATTTTGTTTAGCATTTTGCATTCCTGTCCCGGGACATATGCCTGAGATTTCATTGCAGTTGCCCAGTTTTCTATACTAAACCGCCTCGCAGCAGCAAACTCAAGCTCATGGCTTCCTTTCTTTTCTGCAATCCTTTAGCTGTCCTTCTCGTGTTGACGTTTACAATTTTTATCCAGCCGATAAGAGTGATGGTGAGATGCATAGATATATATGTACATTGATGCCACTGGATACTATCTCGTCTTACCACCCGGATGCAGAAAGGAGAGCGATTTCAGCTGAAAGCGATGGGAAAAGCACCCAAGCTGGATGATCTCAAAGTCAGGCCTCCGAGTCCTCCAACACCTTGGAAGGTATCCAAATCTAAGTTCCAGTTCCTGATATAACCTCGCTCACCGATTCTCTACTGATTTGTCAAGGAATCTTTTCCTTTTGCGTGCCTCGGAACCATAAAGCCCGTGTCATATACCATTCCTGTGCTGCTGCTCCTGCTGCTGCTACTGCTCCTGCTGCTCCTCTGCCGCATTGAAGGTGCGTGTTTTTCAAAGGTAGAGAGACATGGGAAGTTCTAGAGTCAAGTGAAATGATTTGTCCAAGCTGTGCTGCTCGTGTCTACGTTTTTTAGATGTTATTTTGCATATAGTAGTCATATGCAGTAGTAGCATAGCAGCAGCATTGGGACGACGCACTTCACTTTGCCACCGTTATCCATGCATGCATTTCTATTTCTACTTAGTCACACAAGCACACAGAAGGAGGAGGACTTCTTTTTTCTTGGGCGCCTGCCTTGACGTTTGTGGAAAAGAATAGCTATGCTTGGGCTGATCTGGTATGGAATAGCAGCGTAGCTGTGCAAGGCATTTGTAAATGCTGAAGGTGCATTTAATCTTGGAAGGAAAGGCCTTTGCTGATATCATTAAAGTAATCCGTAAGGCCAGAGGTCCATTTTCTTGGAGACAGTAAAGCCATTGAATTCAATGTCTTTTGTAGTATAGTAGTAGTCGTAGTAGTAGCAGCAGTAGTAGTGTTGCTTGCACCTTCCATGTCTTTTTATATCAGGTGTGTGTGGGCCTTGGGACTGGAGTCGTCGCATTTCTTTCTTTCCAAGCTCTCTGATTGTCCATCGCGTCCATCGCTATTAGAGCTAATCTCTCCGGGAATGTTTACAGGGGCCTCAGTTACTCCAGGCAGGGAAAGGAATCCTAACGTTTGGATACGCCGGTGCTCTTTTGTTGGGATCGATAAGCAAGCATCCACCAGGAGCAACGGTTTACTGGTATGAATGTGCTATAAAAAAAAAAAAAAATCCATAAACACCATCACCACCAGATCGTCTTACAGGTATTTTAGCAGTCCCCCTCTGCAGACAAAGAGAAAGGGAAGGCAACGAGCCAAAGGTACTTGCAACGTCTCAATACATATAGCATGGAATGAACAAATGTGATTGTGATGTTCTGGCCCTTTTGCAGCAGAAGTTCAAAAATGGGGGATTGTGAGTACACACACACACACACACACACACACACACTCTTGCTGCACTGCAGCAGGTTTATGCAACACCAACACCACAGGAGGTAAAATTCAAAAGCCACTCCGTCTTTACCTCTTCTGCAACTTGGGCTTTCAGCTACAGTTCTGCACCCTGCTCGTCCTGCTTCTTTGGCATCTTTCCACTCGCCTTTCTCTTTATCTGGCCCATTTGCAAAACCAGGGAGCGTTTCCAAACCGGCCAGTCAGTCTCCCCATCTCGCTCGCTCTTTTCACTCCCTCTCAAAGCAACAAACAACTTGTACAAGAGAAGCTCGTAAACATTTACGATCCCTCGGTCGCTCGCGCTCGCTTCGTTCGCACACTCGCTCGTAAAGTCGCCATCAAAGTTGCATAGCTTTCGTCCTGTGCACTTTCGTCCTGCTTGCTGCTACATTTGTCTCTCCCTTTTTTTCTTTTTTTTTTCTTCTGCCAGGCTTGGTATTTTAAACCCGCCGCCGAACGGCTTCTAAATCTGAAGCCTGCCTTCTAAATTTGAATTATCCGCATCAGGCATATATGTGTGAGAGTCTGTGTGCAGCTGGTACTCGCTCGGGTACCGCAGAAAAGCCTCGTTCATAATGTAACCTGCAATGATTTGGCATCAGTCAGTTTCCTCACTTATAATACTTGTCTAACCTGCATTTACTCCCCAGCTCTATGGCTATAGCCCTCCTATAGACCACCATGTCAAAGTTCTCGTCTTTTAACTATACTGTTCGCCTTCACTTTGATGGGTGCATTTCTCTTCTTTCCAGCTCGTAGCCCAATGAGATTCTTGAACGAATTTTGGGAGGGATCACACATATCCCAGCTCCAGAGACAACATCATTTTCTATCCAGCCAAAATCCCATGGCATCATTGGAATAAATAGTGATCTTGTAGACAAGTCATAAGAGGATTGGAATCAGGCTTTTACATTTCTAAGCAAGTTTGGTTTGATATACCTATACCTTTTTACCTTTTCTTCAAAGTAGCACTAGTACCCTAAATCAAGTTGCAATTTTCCTCCCGTGCGGATCACCCAGAAAGAAGTGTCTACTGCATTCGTTCCGATAGAGGCAACTTTTCCAACCCACTTTCGTTGGTTAATTGATTCAGCGTGCTTTCGGCTGGAAAGATCTGCGCTGCAAGCAAGCATCGGTGACAATACACAAAAACTATGGTTTAGCTACAACCCAGAAAATGAAAAAAAAAAGAAAAAAGAGGAGCATTCTCTGTAAAAGGTTAGACACAACATGGAAAGGATTAGCACAGCACAGCGAGAAAGCTAATCACTCACAGCCTTAGAAGCGTCATACCATTGTAGTAGACGATTATGAAAGGAAAAACTTTAAAGAAAAACCTCTACAAAAACGAACACACAAAACGTTAATAGTGTCAACTGTGTCAGTCGTCACCTGGAAAGAATTCTCGAATCTCAAACTCGTTAGAAGCGCCATGTCCACCATGCCCACCACCACTTTGGTCTTTCTCTCTCTCTCCCTCTCTCTTTTCTTTGTTGACAGCGTAGCGCTAGTAAAACAACACAAATTCATCATCATCACTATCATCAGCCTGCGCAGATTCAAACAAAAAAAAACGACACTGTGTTGAAGTTAGCACGGCGTTAGCAGCAACAACAAGATCAGCACAAGAATCAAACCATGGCACGAGAAAAAAAAAAAATCCAAGTAAGCGAAACGAAAAAATAAATTGCGGAGAAGTGAGTAAGATATCACATACCTGGAGAGCCTTACTTCATCTTCATCTCGGACATAAACCGCTCGTACTCCGACTCCACCTGGTTAGCCGGCGGGTTCTCGGCCGCGGCGGCATTCGTGGCCCACGGAGGAACAGCCGGAGGCGGCGGTCCAGTGTAGTAGCCACCAGAGTACTGCGGAGGATAGCCATGGTACGCGGGGCCCGAGAACTCCGACCCCTGCGACGCCGCTCCCTGCGACTCTTGCGACGCTGGCGGCGGGGAGAAACCCGGCGGCGGGGGCGCTGGATCCACCGCGTACACCCCCGGCGGCGGGAACGCGTTGAAAGGTGGCGGAGGGACCGTCCCCGGCGGAGCCAGCGGGTACTGAGCGGCGTAAGGATTGAAAGGTGGCGGCGGGCCGGGACCCCACGGTGGTGGTGCCGCCATGGACCCGGGTGGCCGAGGAAACGCCGTATAGGCTCCACCGCCGCCACTTCCATCCATTCCATACGCCGCCGGGGCGCCTGGAGCCGGGGGCCGGCCAGCGATCCTCACCGCCAGCGTCTTGTCCTCGATCTTCCACCCGTTCATGCTAAACACCGCCTGGCTCGCCGCCGCCGGGTCCGTGAACTTGACGAACCCGTAGCCTTTGCTCGCGCCGGTGGTCCGGTCCTTGATCACTTTCACCTCCTCGATCTGTCCAAACGACGAGAAGAGCCGCTTCAAGGACTCGTCGTCGTACGTCGCCGGCAAGTAGCCCACGTAGAGGTTCGTATCATCGTCCTTGGGCTTCGCCGCCAGGCCCCCCGGAGCACCACTCGGTCCCCCGAGAAGCAAAGTCGGCCCGGTGTGGCGGCCGACGCTGGCGTCGCCGCCACCGCCGCTACCGTCGGCGTTCACCTCCACCAGGAACTTCTGGTACTCCCCGTCCATCTTGTTCACCGCCGGTCCCTGCTGCGTGCAATCGCTCGTCGGGTGGCCGCCGTCGCCACACTTCGCGCACACCACCCCAGCCTTGAAAGTCGTGCTCTTCTCAGGACAGCAGTACTGCCGGTGGCCGAGCTGTCCACACTGGCGGCAGCTCTCGTCGTCCCGGATCGTCCCGTTCAGCGCCGCCAGCTCTCGCAACTGCGCTCGCTTGTGCTCGTTCCGCCCCTCCTCTACCGGCTGGAGGAGCTTCTCCACCATCCCAGCCGCCGCCTCCAGCGCCTCCTCGGTGTCCGCCTCCACCAGGACGTGCAAGTCCTCGTTCTCGGACGGATCCGGCTTAACGTCCCTCTTCTGGTGCGTTCTTCCTTCTTTCACAGACCCTTTCCCGCGGATCACGATCTTCGCTCCAGTCTCCTTCTCCATCCTCTTCTGCGTGTTCCCGCGCGGCCCGATGATGAGTCCTATGAAGTTGTACCCCGGGTACTCCTTCGACGGGATGTAGAGCTTCTTCTGGAGCTTCGGAGGTTTGTAGTCAGGTGGCGGCTTGAAGTGTGGGTTCTTCTTTATCATCTCGGAGATGAGCTCGTGACGCTCCTTCGTCAGCTTCTCGCGAGCTCGATACTCTCTTGTGTTGATCCTAATGCCCATGTTGTCGTAGATGGGCTCCGGGGATGGAGACCTCGGCATATCGGGCCGGTCGTCGTAGAGCTGTCCCATTTGGAGCCTCCGGTTGAGCTCCAACACCTTGATATTGAGCGCTTGCATCTCGGGATCCCACTCGATCGTCGGGAAGTTCGCCAAATTCACATTGGCCAGCAGCGTCTTGGGCTCCTCCGCGGCCCATCGCGACTTCCTCTTCTTGGGGGCGGCGGCGCCGCTGCCATCGCCGCCGGGCGGCCGCTGCGGATCGATGAGTTGCAGCTGCTGCTGCTGCTGGCTTTGCTGGGGATTTTGGCCGCCGCCCTCTTCCCCGGTGGATTCCGGCTGGGGCTCCCATCGGCTCCTCCTCTTCTTACCCTCCGCCGAGCCCTGGTTCTCCACGGAGCCGCCGCGGTCGTGCCTGTGGTGGTGATGATCCGAGTCCGAGTCCGTGCTGTGGCGATCCTTGCCGTAGTGATGACGGTGGCTGTGATGCCGCTGGATACCTGGCGGGGGGCTCTCTGGGCTGCTGCTTGGCGCATACCATCGATCGTTCCATCCCCCGGTGCTGTACGCCATGGCCGGCTGCTCCATCGTTCCTATTCTTCCACTTCCAAGGTGCCCTAAATTTCGCGCTGCCCTAGCATCTATGGCGGTCTTTAAAACTCGGAGCGATTCCCGGAGAATATTCTCTGGGCGGGCTTGGAGAAGATTTTAGGGCGCACGGAGCTGGATTTTAGGGCGGTCCGTTCGTGGTGTGGCGATGGGATGGATCTTCTCCAGGATTTTTTTTTCAAGCCTTGCGCCAGGGATTTTGCCAGTCTCTTGTCATGGAGGTAGGCAAAATTTACTTTGTTCTCGCTTAGTTTTTCTCAATTCCTAGCTTAGAAGCTCGAGAAAATTCTTGCATTTTGTCATCTTTTCTGTCGTTTTTTTGCTTCTTTTCTCCTGCAGGCCTGATGGATCGTATAAGAATTCATTGAATAGCACCGGCGACACCTTAGAACGGATTTGAAAGGAAAAATAACTATTCTTCGTCCTCAGGTATCGCTCACCTATTGTCGTAGCTTGCTCTTCAGGTACCACGATTCATCGCTCATCTATTGTCGTAGCTATAGTGGGCTTTTCTCAGAAATTTTTTTTTTCTTTTCTTTGAATGTGACACTGTTTCCTTTTTTTCTCTCTACAAGGTCGCAGCCCATAAACGCAACGATTGAGCTGTTCAGTACCACGACTTAACTGCTGGTCTATTTGTCGTTCCTTGAGGTAGGCCAATTGTAGCGCAGTTTGCAGTAGCTTTTGCTTCGATCAAGCACTCTTTTTACTTCTTTGCTTCAGGAAAACGAAAAGAAAAAAACCATTTTGATCCGCAGGCCTGCCTGACCGATGATCTTAAAATCGACAACATCAACAGCAACAGTGCCAACAAAAGCAGTGCCAACAAAGAACAAAGCTTCAAGTAAGCAAACCAGAGTTTTTAGTGCTCTCACTTTCCTCCGTTCCTTTCACCTCGTATTTTTCTAGATAGAAAAAAACTCCCAGTACCACGACTCAACTGACCGAACTGACTACGTGATTTTCAGGAAAGCTGCCGCGGCCGCTGTTTGGTGAGCCGCGTTAAGGGAGAAAGAGATCTATGCGAATCGATCGAGCGCCATCAAAAGCAGATCACATCTCTCATGCTGCCAGATTACTCACCGTGCTCGCGACCGCCAGCAATCCTCGATCGAAACAGGCGAGCTCCCCCTTCCTCGTTTCATTTATTTCTCCCTCCCCTCTCTCACTTTACTTTCTCTCTTCGTGTAGGCTACACAGTGACGAAGAACGAATCTCTCTTTGTGCGATCACGCGGCCGGCTACCTTACGGTGTACAACCAAGACAAACTCTTTACATCGCGTCATCGCGTCCCCCTTGGCTCCATGGACCACACACCCAATGGGGGGGTTTTAAACAAAACAAAGCGGGGGGGCCGCTGACGTGTCTGAGAGCCCACGTGGATTTTCCCGGCAAGTGGCCAACTTGGCCGCGAAAATCGGTCAAAATCTCCCCGTCCGCTACCTGGGCTTGCGCCACGTGGATGCATTGGACGAAGGGATGCTGTGGCCCATGCCCGACTGTACACACGCGCCAAGGGGGCCCATGTCCGTACTGTCCCATATGCTAGTACACGTGGGGACTGGGGGCGTTGGATGTCCGTGTCGCGATATCTGATTAACGACTAATCTACTCTTTTATCATATTTAAGCCATTTTTAAGTCAGAAAAAGGTGACGGACCCATGGGAAAGGTTTGAAAAGACGTGGAGACGATCCCCCTCCTTACAAATGTTATCTTTTTTTATATCCATGGTGTTGGACCCATTATCCCAACTCAAGCACAATGGGGAGTATACTATGGTTTTATTTTTATTCGATCAAACACATCATACTTCCCAACACCAGTGTGCCATATTATTTAAAATATTTCTTGTTTGTCGCGATAAGTAGAGGGGCCTCTTTAGTGGCAGCAGGGGGTGATAGGAAGGAAAGGCCTTTCCTTTCTTTGTGCGTGTGATGAATGTCCATGGCTTTGTGTACCACGCTACACTCATAGAGGGATATCTTTTGACCTAAATAACACCAAAAAAATCCCAGCCGTCCGTTAAAGCCCCCGGATGGGCATCCATGCCATGCCCATGGATGTGACATGGGGACATGGAACAAACGTGTCGGTGTCCCCGGGAATCGAACGAGGGACCGGTGCTTGTCTTGGGGAGAAGCCAGATAGCGAAAGAGGAGCTAGAAAGAAGGAGAAAGTGAAAGAGCGAGAGAGAGTGCGAGAGAAAGGGAGAAGAGAGGAAGGATTTGGCTGCACAGCTCCCGTGGATTTCTTAAATTTTGCACATGTTGAATCCATCGAGGAGCGATCCTGCATTGAGCCAGTGGCGCGCAGAGATGGAGCAATCCATCGCTTCATCCCTTGTCTGATCTTGTCTTGTCCCTCGCCTTCGCATTTCTTGTCCCATCTCGAGCCAGCCATCGCGAGCGATCGATTGGCCACGAATCTGGGGCGCCAAATTCGCGGACAAGCCACCCAGCAGCAAAATCCAGCCCAGCAGCAGCAAATCCACGCGCGGGATCGATGCCGCGGCCGGGGCCGAGGCCTTACGAGTGCATCCGGCGGGCGTGGCACAGCGAATCCCACCAGGCTCTTCGCGGGAGCCTCACGCAGGAGATTTTCAGGTAGAGCACAGCCCAGGTTTCCACTCCAAAATCTCTGTTCTCCTCGCTCTCACACTGTTCTTGTGTGTTCTTGGCGATCTTCTTCCCTCCAGGATCGTGACGGAATTCCATAGGCCCGACACCCGCGGCAAAAAGGAATGGCAGGAAAAGCTTCCCATCGTGGTGCTACGGGCGGAAGAGATTCTCTACTCGAAAGCTCGCACCGAGGTGAGAGAGAAAGATTCCCTTGCCCCAATCCCAGCAAGCAAGCACTGACTCGCGATTCTTGTCGATCGATCGATCGATTCATCCATCCAGGCCGAGTACGCCGACGCTTCCACGCTCAAGGAGCGCCTGGACGACGCCGTCAACACCATGATCCGGAGAACCGACGAGAACCGCGACCAGGAGGCCGCGGGCGATGGCCCCTTCATGGAGCCCTGTGTGGAAGGTGAGGCGATGCTCCTCTCCCCGATCGATCGATAGCGCGCGCTTCGGTCCGATCGGGAGGGCGCTCCAAATCCATGTCTGATCACTCCTCGCTCATGGGTTTCTCATCCTCTCTCGTGGGTCGCAGCTGCATTGTCGCTGGGATGCGCGCCCAAGATGAATCCCCGCGGCCAGAGGAGCTGCCCGCCCAGGATCAGCAATAGCTCCGCGGGAGCGTCCCTGCGAAGAACAAGCTCCGCCACGAACCCTATCTCCTCGTCTCCATCCTCCTCCTCCTCCTCCTCCTCCTCTTCCTCCTCCTCTTCCTCCTCCACGTCCTGCTGCTCCTCATCGATTTCTTCCTCCTCCGCCGCCGCTTCCATCGCCACCTCTTCCGCCGCCGCCACCACCAGCTGCATTACCACCTCGTCCAATCAATCCCAGACGCTGGCATTCCTGAGCTTGGAGTCTTCCTCGCCACCGCCATGGCCCAAATCTCGAGCTCAAGCTCATCCATCGCCGCCATCCTCCATACCCGAAGTACCACCACCACCACCACCACCACCTTCCAAAAGCCGGCCTCCTTGTTTTGCCGCCGCCACGACCACCGCCACCGCCACCAATCCAAATCCCAATGTCAACTTCTCCATAATCTCTGGAATCGAAGCCCAGAGGTTCCAGAAGCAGCATCAGCAGCAGCAGCAGCAGCAGAGCCTTTGTGGCTTCAGTCCGCACTTTGCACCTCCACTTCTTCCTCCAATGGGGAGCTTCAGGTTGCAGCCTCATGAAGAATTGCCAACATTTCCACCTGCTCCAACTTTTCCACCTGCCCCAAAGGATCAGAGCTACCCATGCCTGCACCACCTCCAGCAGCACCACATATTTCACCCACCGCCATCACCATTTCAGAGCCCCAACAGGGTTTATCATCCACAGCAACAAGTTCAGAATGCTGCCTCTCCTCCCGTCCACCAGCCAAGCCAGAAGGCTTCACTCCCGCCAATGTTTCCCATATGTTTGGAGCCGGCACCAGCAGCTGTGATGCAACCAAGATTTCAGCCCAGGGTGCGCAACCAACAAGAAGGGAGCCACCCTGACCTGGACTTGTGCCTTGGACCGCCCAAGGTTTCGAGTTCCAGACCTAAATCGCATCTGGCTGACCTTGCTGGCAGCGATGGCAGCCTCGCCAGTGGCGGTGGCAACACCACGACGACGCTGAAAAAGGCAAAGATTGTCCTTTAATCCAGTGGGTTTTTGAAAGAGCTAAAACCCCCCCGACTTTTCACTCGCTTTCTTTTGATCTTGAATGGAACAACAACATGGGCTGACTGACACGTGGTACACCCAGGTGTCAAGGACAGGGTGATTTCATAAAGAGGGATTTGCACCTAGGGTTTGAAGCGTTTGATCGTTTCCGAGTAGTGATGCAGGGTGTACAGGATCAAGTCTCGAGGTTTTCTCCTCCCTCGTTCTGCAATGTCAATGTGATTCTTGCTTTGGTTCATGCTTTTCAGGCAGATGCAATCGCCGGATCCTCGCGTGGGCGTGGAGGAGGCCCAACAGGAATTGAAAGAGAAGTATGAGAACGCGAGTGAGGGGTTAACGCAGAAGAAGGATTTGGGTGGGGACGAGGGTGCCAAGGCGATGCTCAGGGACGAATACAAGGATGCCAAGAAGAGCATTGCGAGGCACGATGGCGTCGCAGAGGCCACTGACGCAGTGGAGCTCGCGGGCGCAGGGTCACACCAGAAAAAGGATTGAAAACAAGTGGGACTTCCACCCATAATAAATTTTATTTAAATTTCTCAATAGTTATTCACACAAATCAAATCCACAAGCCAGGGATATTCAAATGGCAATATAAATACCAACGCCACTCTGAGTTTTTCACAATTGCAGTGTAATAGATCTTGAGTCTCACGGTGACCAAGCCTTTTTCTTCAAAGTGCCATCTATTGAAATCTTTAGCTGCCACCTTATAACTTTAGTAACCTTATAAATTCACCATATAAATTACACTTATTTATGGTTTATATGTAATGTTTGAGCAGATAAAAGTGCTGCACACATTTTTTTCATAAAACATGTGTGGATACAATGGTGTGAAATGTAGGAATGTTACATATATTTGTAACTCTCTAAATTATTCTTTGATCCCTCCCATCCCAATAAAGCAATTTTTAACTGGAAAAATGAGTGTAATTAGATTCTTTTAAAGTGCTTTGAACCCTCATTCTAGTTGAATGGATCATGTTTCCAATAAAGTTAAATATACCTTTCATTTACATACCCTTTCACAATCTAAAACCCTTGTGTAGTTTCATTTGATTTAGATAAATTTCAGTTTAAATTGCTTAATGGATCCTAAATGATTTTTTTGAATTAATATCTCATGCCTGATAGGGATATATGAAAACCTATACAACTTAAAATTGATTATTTTAAGTTATATATAAAATTTGTGAAAAAACAAAAAAACAAGTGAAGACAAGTGTGGTTAGAAGGGTCTAAATAGGAGAAGGTTAATGTTAAGTCACTATCACATAAGTAAAAAGAGAGAATTGTTTAATGGGAAATTCATTTGATATATTTGCTTCACTAAACACCTATCAATACCATTCGGGAAGCATTTAAAAACTTAGTTTAAAGATGAGGGAAAAATCTAAAATTCTAATGCGTGACGTGGAGTGCCACGTAAGAGACGGGGATCCACTCTTCAGGGAACTTAACCTTCTCGGCAATACGCTCTACTGCTCCCGACCTCGCCCTCCACGCTTGCCTGCGGGAAACAGCTTTTTGCCGTGCACTGAGAAGGATTTGGAGCCCAAGAAGAGTATGCCATGCCGTACTACATGAAGTTCCTCTACGAGCTCACTATCCAGAACAAACAAGTTGACAAGCTGACTATAACCTTCAGGGGTTCTATAGCATCTTTTGTATCATCTCTCTGAGTCGATTCTCGAGTCGAGCAACTGTATCGCATTGGAGAATGATATGGAGATGTCGCCACTCAACCTTGGGAACTTTCGGTGCATCGAGTACCATGTCCCAGCTTTCCTCCAGGTAACAGAGTAAACCGCCATGCGCATGAAAAACCATGTAAAGTAGCGAAGTCGAAGATGAAAGGCTTGCTGGAGATATTGCGTCCGAGTATGCTAAGCTCCCGACGAGTTCGAAAGCTCCAGCGCTTCTCCGTGGACAAGCCGAGATTGGGATTCACACCTCAAGGCCAACGCAAGCTCATTTCTGCAGGCAGGTTGGTGCACTTCGGTCGGCCATGGGCGACGTGATAGCTGGAGTTGTGGGCTTGCAAAGACGAGAAAAGAGGCGTCAGCGATACTGCGAACAATGTGCTGCAGGGAAGAAACAAGTCCAGGCAAGCTTTTGTTTTCCTTCCTTTTCTCGTTCAAAGTTGTGTGAGCACCGTGCTAGCCATAACCAGAAACGTGGTGGCAGCTCATACAACGTGGCTATGACAAGCCCTTCAAAACTCTAGAGATCATTCGACTGGCAGGCAAGATTAAGAACATTAACTATGGAAAGCTATGTGAATGTAAAATCTAAAATACTCTGGCAACGATGGATCGATCAGATGCCACGGATGAAGTCCGCGGCCGCTGCCATGCTTATCTCGGAATTTCCAGGAGGAATAATCTGGGATCTAATCTCGGCCTCGTCGAAGAGTTTGAACCAGTCGAGCCGCACTGCACCGTCGGAGACTTCAACTCGCTGAGTTTCTAATCCTCTCTCCTTGATCCACACTACGAGCGGCTCCTCCACCGTGGGCCGAACAAAGATGACTATGCCAAGCTTGGCACCGCCATTTGCAGCAGACGTGACAGCATCAAGGTCGTTCACCACTTTATCGATGCACTCATTTGCGTAGACAACTTGACCGACGATTGCAACGCGGGCGTTCTGGAACGTTGGTTCCTGTGAGGATCGTTCGAGCACAATAAAGTCAACTTGCTGTAACCGATCGTTGAGCTCAACCAAGCCGCCCGGGCCAATTTGGACAAGCCTCTCTCTGCCCTCAAACTGAAGGCCCACTTTCGTGAGTGCTTTACAGAGCTGAATGAACCAGAAAATCCGGACTTGCTCATGGAAGGCAGAGAAATCGTACTGTAGAAGCAACTCACCCTGATCTTTCATGAAAAGCATACTTCTCTTGTGTGCGTCGGTTTCGTTGTAAATCCGCATAAACTCTTCCTGTCGAAGTCCCGATTCCACCGACACTGGCCCTTGATTGCTGGTAAGGCGAACGACTTCTTCACGACAAAACCTTTCCAGAAATTCGGCATAGCTCTTGACGTCCATAGCCGAAAACGCTGCACTTTTTTTTAGGTCATAGCCATTTCAATACAGCCTTTGTACGGCTAGAGGAAGATTTAGCGTAGGCTATCAGTTGACACCATTTTTTTTATTGTTGTTGCACATCCACTGACGTTCTTGTGTGCAAGGCATTGAACAGCAAGAGATTTTTCATGCACAGTTTGTAAGGTCGCTTCCCGCCTTGCCCCAGCTCCGAGCCTGAGAGACTCGTGTGGCCACCACGAGCATCAATAACAACATCCTGAGGGCTCTAGACGGGTTTGGTGTCGACTGTGAGAGTGGTCAACGACCTGTCTCCCTTGGAGGTAGCTAGCCATGACGACTTTTGTAAGATTTCGATACCGCTTCTTATTTTCTTGTGCAGGGTCCACAACCACAGTGCTAGACAATGGGAGAATAAAGCAAAGCGACGGCCAGGTGGCATCCAGACTTGGTAATCACGAATGGAAGCCAACTCTTGTCTGGGCAGTAGCGGTATGGCATGACACATTGGAGGAGCTTTTGCAGGAAACATACGAGTGGACATCTGGTCATTTGGGAGCTAATGTGTGCCTTGGGGTGAAGATTGTCCTGCAGAACAATGTCCCAGTCCAAATCCTTGTTTGCAAGAAGAACAAAGGAGAAGCAGTTCAACTCATTGACATCTTCCCTCAGATCAACTTCCAGCCGAACCAGATTGTTCTAAGGATCCACTCCAGAATTTCTTTCAGCTTTCAAACACAGTGTTCCCAAGTTTTATAATAGTACTCCAAGTGGGTTTTTAGAATCTAGGGTATCTGGAGATGATTCTAGCTCAGGCTAACTTTATAGTATTCTAAGGAGGGAACCTTTGAGTTGCTCGCGACCAACTGTGAAAAAATAGTGATCCTGAGTATAGTAGAGCATTGGGAAAAGTTTAAATGGCCAGAAAAGATTCTTAGTGCAATAAAGAGCTCACCACCTTCTTGTTGGAAGAATGTCAACTTGCATTGCCAACCAGTACAGACTAGACTAATGGTGTTCCCAAGCACATGATTAGTATGTGATTCCCTAGATTAAATCTTATCTATAGACTTTCCTCTAATCATCTAAGGGCTCGTGAGTTGCGAGTGTAAGCTAGTTGACAGGGAGCTCAAGTTGTAGAGATTGATGGGAAGACTGTTTTGGAAATGTTCCACCAATTTTATGTGAGTGTGATTAGTGTGTTGTACAGCATATGTAATAATAATAATAATAATAACAGCTTTTTGAAGTCATGAGGACTCACAAAAGGCATCAGACCATCTTATCTACTGCTAGTGTGGAGGTGGGGATATGCAAGCTCAACAATGTCATCGCAACAGTTTGTGGTGGTGGTGAGGTACTTCAATTGTTCCAAACCTTGAAACTAGTGGGATATACTAAATGTATTTTTAATGGTTTAGGAATCCTTTTGCTTCAAGTGATGGTTATTTATCACATTAGGTGGCTCTAGTTCATTCTACATCATGCCCTCCAAGCTCCGGCTGGAAGGTGTTACCAGTCTTGGTTGGAACCAAGGTCTTGTTCATGAAGAAGGGAGAGGAGGTGACAAAGGCAACATGGAGGCTCAAATTGGCATGGCTATGGGTGCCTTGCTTGCTTGTGCTATGAGTCAACATAAGGTGCCCCAAGTTTGAGGGTTAACCCCAAAGGTAGAGCTTATTGTGGATCTTCTTCAAGTCCTCCAACACTGGCATATGCAGCTGCTGCAGGGCTTTGCCCAGCTCAAAAGTTCAGGTTCTTGTCACTATTCCCGACCAGCTCATTGCTCAGTCTTAGAATGCTGCCTTCAGCACAAACATTCTCCCATCGACGCATTGGGGTTGGAGCTCCCAAAGGTCCATCTTTGGCTAGCATCTCGTCAAGAAGCCGCCAGAATCCATTGCATCAGCTGTAGAGCAAGATCATCTTGCAATGGGGCCATAGACCATAGTTGGCAGCCTTTGGAGATCCCTCCCATGCGCTAGCTTCTCAACTTCATGGCTGCCAAAAGTATGTATATATTCTATCAATAGGCATGTTTGGTCGATAAAAGGTCTTTTATCTTAATCATGCAGTTAAAGGGAAAGTTTCTCATTAATAGAAAAAAGGTTCCTGGTGTCATGCTGGCGTTTCTTTCCAAGTGTACAACGATCCAGTCAAGCCGTCAAGCAAGAGCTTCAAAGCCTCCCCAGTACCTTTTCCTCAATGTAATTACACTACACAATTAGAATAAGACATAATTGAAGAGAAAGATTTTTGTTATAAGATAATTTATGATGTTTTGAAAATAATAAAGGTTTAGTAGAATCAATATATAAATGATCCAAACCTGTGAATATAAAGATACTGAATATTAATTTTTTCTGCGTTTTAAATTTGACCATCTTAAAACACGTGTGATTTGCATGAATTAGTTTCGATAGGGGAAGGCATAGCAATAATGTGGAGCAACAGAAATAAGGACATTGAAATTCATATATATATATATAAGACGTCATGGTGTAAGGATGCAGAGATACAACAATACACGGTAACAATGACTAAGATGCAGATAAGGATGGCAGGACTTCCAACAAAAGACGTTGCGTGTCTTGAAACTTGTTGATGGTTACATATGCTCGAAAGAGATGGTGGCTGGAAACCCAAAACCTCTTTTGAAGATGGTTTACAATGAAGATGTAAATAGTAACACCTTCCATTTAGGACACAATACCGCCAAGATTAATGTTGTGAGTGATATTGTAATTAAATATGCTTACTACGGAGTTGTAATAAAAAAGGCTTTCATCAGCCCGGTGTCATGCTGACGTTTAGAAAATAAGTGCAAAAATGTGTCAACTGATCCAGTCCAGTCAAGCGGTCAAGCAAGAGCTTCATAGCCTCCCCAGTCCCTTTCCTTGATCCTCCAGTAGCTTGCGCGGTCGTGCTGGGTTGGTGCCGCGCCAGTCACGCTCTCACATTTCTCCCTTGACCACCAAAGTCCCAGAGACTCATCTCTCCTCTTGGAGCCTCTCCCCTCAATTCCACGCCGATGCCGACACGAGCGATCGATCCAGCCAGCCCAAATAGATGACACCATCCTCCTCGCTCAGCTTATACTTGTCGCAATACGTCTTGAGCAAGCAGCTGATGGTCTGGTTGACATAGCGGCTGAGCGGGTACTGCTTGAACCCGGCCATGCTCATCCTGGCCCTCCACTTCCCCATCACCTCGTGCCGCTCGATCCTCTCGGCCCCCTCGCACGCGATGAGGTTCACCAGATCCCGCGCCAGGCAGTGCTGCTCCACACTGATCCGCTCCTTGCTCTGCCGCGGCAGCGTCACGTCCAGCGACTCAAACACGGCGCCGTAGTAGCTGAGCGACTCCTTGAACCGCGCCAGGAACGGCGCGGTGTTGGTGTTGGCCTCCTGCTCCACAAGCGTCACGATCTTGGGGCCCAGCGACTTGGCCATGCGCAGCAGCCGGTCCCGGGGGTTCGAAACGCTGACGCTCTCGTCGGGCATGTGGTGCAGCTGCATGGCAAAGTTGACGGCCAGCGCCTCGCCGGGCCGCCGCTGCAGCGCCGCCGCGTCCGTCACCCCGGCGCCGCTGAGGGGCACGGCGTGGAACTCTAAGGGCACGCCGTGGTCGGCGGCCAGCACCGCCAGCCTCCGCCCCACCGCCGCCACCCCGCCCGGCGCCGCCACGCCCGCCGCCGGGTCCCCCACCCCGGTGATCCGTACGGTCGGCGGCCCGCCCGGCCGCCGCGCCAGCGCCTGGATGAGCGCGATGTACTGCGTTCCCTGCGCGATCTCAAAGTCGATAATGTGGACGCGTGGCTCGTCCTTGAGCGCCTCGGCTATGGCGCCGTTGGCCGCCATGTAGCCGAACTTGATGTACGGGCACACCTCGTACATCACCTGCATTGCCGAGAGGATCTCGTTGCCCACCGGCTCCTTGCACCGCAGCGCGCGGCACAGCCCCGTCCCCGACGATTGGATTCGCGCCACCAGCCCCTCCACCATGTACGCCGCCAGCCGCTCCATGGGCTGGCCGTAGATGCACACCACCTGGTTAAGGCGCGAGATCACCACCTCCGCCAGCGCGAAGTCGCCGTTGGCGATGGATTCCGCGCACAGGAGGAGGAGCTGCCGCGGGTCGCCCATCCGCTCCACCAGATCCCGCGAGATGCTGGGCGCAAGCATGGCTCCCCCTCCGCCTCCTCCTCCATCGCCGCCCAGGAGATCGAGCATGAATGTGGAGGTGGTGGAGGAATCCGGCGAGGATTTGTAGTCGAGCTCGTCGTCGTCGTCCAGCAGGAGCCGGCTCTCGATCTCGCGCAGCGCGTGCTGGATGCTGCTGGAGGAGCTACTGTTATAATCCTGCTGGCGCTGCGAGGGATTCGCGTAGAAATCGAGCTCCTCCTGCTTCAAGGGCTTGGAGGCGGCGGAGCTCACCGCGGTGGGCGGGGAGGAGGAGGAGCCGGAGCTCTGGCTGGTGGAGGACGACCACGATCCCCCGCCGCCGCCGCCGCCGCCGCCGCCCATGGATTGATCTAGGGGAGAGACTGGAGAACAAACCCGGTCGGCGGCGCCACTCCCCCCATCGCCACCGCCACCGCCAAGCGATCGCTGCGCGTGGTGGTGCCGCGGAGGAATCACGCCCACGCCACCGGCCTCGTTCCACGAGTATTGCATACTCATTGCTCTCTCTTGCTCTCGCGCGCACTCGAAAATCTAGGGGAATTTCTCGAGAATCTTGAAGGAATCAAGTGAGTGGCATCGCCCAGGAGCACAAATCTTCCTCTCTCTCTCTCTCTCTCTCTCTTTTTTCAATCCTTTCCCCGGAGTCTCTGGAAGACAAATGTGATGGATACACACGAGAAATCAAAGAGGGCAACTGTGTGGCTTGCGCGTTTATAGGAAGGGCTGATAAGAGGTCCTCCCACGCTTTGTTTCTCATCATCTTAGCGAAACTTTCTTTTCATCGCTTCGCGTCGCTTTCCTCCCACTCGTTGAATTGAATAATCAGACCTGGCACATTATACCCGTGAATAAAATAAGCATATTCCTACCAATGGTCGCAGCGCATCGTATTTCGCCCGGCCTTCGCTCGTATGCTCGCGGACTTTACCCTCTTGTCTGACCTAAGACGACCTCCCTACAGTGCCTCGCCACCTTTCTCTTTGAACTTTTTCTTTGACAAGTCGCGAGGTCCTCTTTGCGATGTTGTTAAACGCTGGAATGTCAAACACCTTGTCCCACGAGGGATACCGTATAGCCAATAGAAAATACACGTTTGTACGGAGACACATAGTTTTTGATCCTGTCGGCAGCAAATGGCGACCATGAAGAATCGGTGTCGAGTGTTATTGTCACGCCAGTGTTCTAGTGTGGGGCATTTGGAATCTCCACCGCCCCAGTCCCAGGTTCGAATCTCTTCTCTTGTGCGTTACTCATTGGCGCTCTTACCTCATGCCCATGTCATCCTTGCATCATAGGCCGCGCAGTGATTAATTTACCATGGAGTGATTATCTAGTGATTAAAGATAAGCTTCCTACTACAGTAGATACGCTTCCTGGATAAGGGAACAGTGTAGTAGATTCTCTGGAATTGACCTTGGAGTCAAATAATTTTATCTGGCCCACCATTAGAAATTTCGCCCGATGGACAGGGAGAGATAGAGTAAAAAAAAGCGAGCTTTATCGCTAGCTGGTAGCGAGCTCGATTAGCCCCACGCCAGAGTGGGAGCGTAGTTTACGATGAGCTTCCCGTGCACGCCAAAGTTCTGTGAGAAGATCAAGCTTGAAGTCCAGGAAGAAATCCGAGAGATGGCTTTTACCTTATAGAGATCTCCCACGGGCTCGTCTTGGCTGGGAATAAATGCTTGATTGATGAATGGAAACTGGAAAGAAGTAGCACAGAACACTCTCAATTCAATCCACAAAGAGCAGTGAACAAAAAAAGGAAAAATCGCTCACCACATTGTCCTGTTGAACTTGCCTCCGCAGAAACTTGAGAACTTTCGCGAATTTCTCCGTCGCGTCAATCTGCGCGAGGATCAAAGCCGATTGCGTCGCTTCCGCCGGAAAATGCCCAAACCTTACCTTGAATTCCGACTGGATCAGCACTGGCGCACCTCCCGTGGAAACGAATTGGACCTTCACTGCGAGCGCTCGATCAAGAACAAAGAAAAGAAGAGAATCGAGCTGAGGATCACCTTTGGAAGGCGCAGGGGAGGGAGATTGAGGCGCTGCCGCCGCTCCGCCCACTGCTGACATCGCGCGCCCTAGGAATCTTTCAAATTAGGGCTTCTTGCCCAAAAGCCCTAATCCACGTGGCGGTTGGACATTCCGCTCCGGAATATATCATGGCACGTCGTGTGGACGGCATTTAAATTCCCGAACGGCAATGGCCACTCGCTCGCTCGCTCGAGGTCCGTTTTTCTTTTAATTTCGTGTGGGCAGCGCATTTCCCTTTCATTAGGTTTTTCCGTGGATCGCTTAGCTCAGCCGCGCTATCGCGATTCGCGAAGTTTCTCTCCCTCTGGTTTTCTGTGATCTTGCTCTGCGCGCATTCAATGTGGATGGGGCCTCACAGCGCCACGGCGATGCGGTGATCGTCATCGTCGCCTGGAAGTAAGAAGTCTTCTCTCTTCTCTCTTGACTATTTCGATATTTCTGTGCTGAAATTCGGTGCCGGGACGCCTGGGAGAGGGGTGTAGGGATGAATTGAGAGGAATTCCTTTGCTGATTTGATCTCCGCGATGGCTTTTTTGCTTAGAGTATTTTCTGGAAAGCGCGCAGATGCGCCGGAGGATGTGGAGCGGCTCCGGGAAGAATTTCGCCGGCGGAAGGTGTGATTTGTGCTTTTGCCATCAATGCATTGTTCTAGACAAGTTTCTCCTTTTCATGTTGTCCCAGGACGAGGTATTTGGCGATTTGCTCCAAAATGCCGAAGTACGAGCTCTTGTTGAGGTGATCTATGATAGCTCCAACAGGGAAGCTCAGGTACAAACTTCTTATATTCTATGTCTGTGAAGAAGCATACTCCAATTGCTTGTTTTGCAGTACTTTCTCAAGCAACCCTCGCTATCGTGGCTGAAAGAGAATCCACAGCTCGTATTGGAGACCATTTCGGTCTTGTCTTCTCAAGGTTCTTTAAGCGTTCAAACTTTTCTCTTTTGGGTGGCCTTTTTGGTGTCACTGAAAGCTTTATCCTTGGTGTTTTCCAGATGCTCCGTTCGTTGGAAGATTGGGCGATGCCATTGAAAAGTATGGAGTCGAGGCAGTGTCTGATATAGTGCTCGAGCTATTCAACCAGATATCATATCTTACGAGGCAGCTAGGCTTGGGTGATAGTTTAACAGATGGATTAGAATACGGATGGGAGTTAGGGAGTCCGCTTTCAAGCAGGCCCAGACATACGCGCCGTCAGAATCAGCTTCTTTGGACAGGAAGGAGTAGTCTCACCTTTCCGGTACCCTCTCATTGTCAACGTGATGGGCCGGATAAGTTAGATCGCTGCATGGACGAGCCTTTACCTGTATCAACGTCGCCGAGAGACGATAATGACGTTGTCAACGGGTGTGAACAGTATGACAGGCGAAATTCAGTAAAGCAGAGCGCATCTACAGTGGGGAAATCTAGTGCCGGCGAGGCAGAGAACAACAGGATGCGGGTACTTATTCCTCCAGCCCCTCGAATTGCTCAAGCAGCGAGCGATGAAGCACCGAAGCTTGTTGCTGCGGACGGGGACTTTCGGGAGACGCCGGGAGTTTCTTCAAGGGGACATAGCAGCAGGCGTAGTATGAGTTGTGGTGGAAGTGAGCTCTACACCTCCGATTCCGACGATGACAGCTTCTCTACGTCAAGCCAAATGAGCTTACTGGTTGCCGTGTCCGAGTCGCATAGTTCCGGTTCATCGAGTGCAGATGATTTAGCTTCAGAATCTGGTAGAAACGAGGCAAGGGTTGTGCCCGAAGACAACTCCGAAGGTTGTACAGGCACTGGGAAAACAGGTGTGCACCAACTTTCTGTTTCTTCTTTGTCTGATTTTGTTTTGTATCAGGCATGGAGGAGGCAGGTGCGGCTCCTGCTCACGATTTCCCTGCCTTCAAGCCCGAGATCCAGATCCAGGATGGAGGTGAGGAATATCTCGACAAGCTGCCAATATACTCCTCGGTCGTTCTATCAAGCAAAAGCTCCGGCTCCGAGAACGAGAAGGACTTGAGTTTCTATGCGCCGGAAATGTGGACTTATTCTGAGAAGGAGGGCCATGATTTAGACGGTACAGAAGCCAGTCGCAGAAATGCTCCTGAACAGCAAGCATCCAACGACACCAGCGAGCATGAGGAAGAGCTTATGGAGGAAGTTAAAGTGGTGATAGTACCCAGTGTCGAAGACAAGTACGTGTCTGTTTCGGTTCAACCCGTTACGATCGATTCTTGGAGAAATGAGTCAGGCGGAGCACAGGTTCAGGATGATCTGTTTGCTGTGAAAAGGATGGAAAATCCTGTTTCGGAAGAAGTCAAGGATGACACCGAGAACTTGGAAGAAAATGGTGGTAAGCTTCAAGGCGGAATTCTCGTAGCAAAAACACTCCAAGCACCAGGCTCTGGTGAATTGGCGGCAGACTCCGAGTTCCAGTTAGAGAAATTCAAGGAAGCAACATCCAACTCGGGAGACGAGGATTTAGCAGCCGCAAGCTTGAGCAAAGCCATAGAAAGAGATGAGCTGGGAGGTGCCGGTGAGAAGAACTCACAAGACGTGGATAAGAACTATGATGATGCGAGGAACGGGGAACAGGTGGTGGACGACGTTCATTTAAACAGCTCTAGTGTAGATGGAAATGGAGATCTCGAGAAACAGGCCGATGTGAAGGAGAGCTCGCTGTTGGCCGAGGATCACCAAGCAAGTGAAGCACTACACTCGGAAGATGACGGGCTTCCACCACCCGAGAATTCTCGCTCCTCGGCGGATTACTTGGAAAGGCTAAGAGAGGAAGATGGTCCAGAGATAGCAGCCACTCAGAAAAGCGAGCCTCCAAAAGCTCCAGATTCTCCACCGAAGCCGGAGTCACTGCTCGTCCCTTACTCGGGCCTCATCGCACTATCCGGTCCCATTGCGTATCCCTCTTCACACTCGGGGACAGTGCCATACTCTGGAAGCTTGTCTTTGCGGTCGGACAGCAGCACCAACAGTACGCGCTCGTTCGCTTTCCCGGTGTAAGTCATGGCTAAACTTTCGTGCATTTGCTTTTAAAGGGTAGAGCTTTCTAACAGTAGTGCTTTACAGTTTGTCAAGTGAGTGGAACAGCAGTCCGGTTAAGATGGCCCCTCCCGAGAGGAATTATATGCATCACAGGAGACGCTCGTGGCGCTCGCTGTGCTGCTTTTGCCCCACTCCCGGATACAGTGCCGATTGATTCCAGTAAGAAATGGTTTTTTTTTTTTCCCTCTCTCGAGCTTGATGGCAATTTGCTCCTTTCCCAGGTAAGAAAAGTTTTGCCGATAACTTAAGTTAGTTTTTGCTCTTACAGGGCCTCTCCTGGTAAGATGACAACTTTAGCATCCACAGATCATCTCTCTTTTCTCTCTCGGGTAAGCGGAGATTCCCACTAAAACAAACTTTGCTTAGCTTGTTTTTCTTCTCGATCTCTTCAGGAACGCGACGATCAACGCGTTTTTGCTTTTCGGAAGCGTCGTGTATTTCGTACCTCTGCCCCGTTCCCAGCGCGTCCCTTTCCCGTGATCGCTGTAAACTTCTGTTTAATCAGTTTAGTCTCAAGAGTGTTCTTCGCGGAGACGTAACCAACGTGGCCGGCGGGCTGCGACTGCCATTGCGATCTCGCCAGGTGGCAAAGATCTTGTCGATAACGACCGAATAATCACGTCCGTCAGTGTGAATATTTACCCTGCTGGTCTAGCAGCGATTTTTTACCTGTCCATATCTCGGGGTTAAGAGTTTTACCACGTTAGTATTAACCGGGTTTAGAATTTTAGCGGCGGGTAAATTTGAAAATCAAGACCATTTTGCGAGGCTCTGGAGTCTTCGATTCTTGTCGCTAGGGTTTGGAGCCAGCGCGGCGGCGCTCGCGCCCGGAGCGCCAGGCGAAATTCAATGCAGTGCCTCCGTCGAGCTGGAGAGAGGTTTGAAATCTCGCTGTACGCTTCTCTTCTCCAATTCTTTCCTCATCCCAGCGTTCTTCTCCATCCCGGCACGCCTGATTCTCTCTTCTCTCGTATTCTCGAATGATATTTCCCGAGATCTAACTCTTGTTGCATCGCGAGAGAGGGGAGCGAGATAGATCTTCTTCGTCCTAATACATGAGCTCCAATGAAGCCACCGAGATGGAGATTGAGGAGGAGCAGGGCGAGGAATGGATAAAGGTACTGGGATCAGACCAACTCCTCATCGTTCTCCACTTCTTACCAGTCTCTGGGATCGTAGCCTTCGGATTGACATGCCATCGCTTCTACGATCTCGTCAGCTCGGACAGCCTCTGGGCCAGGATCTGCCGCCGCGAGTGGGGCGATGCGGTGGTGGATGCGTGGCCCAATTCCAGGCTCCGCAAGCGCAGCTGGAAGCAACTCTACGCCGAGATGCTCTTTTGCGGCGCTGTTGCGTGGCATCACTTGGAGCAGCCGGACCCGCTACCGCTTGGCCGCGCGTCCCACTCCATGATCAACGCTTATGGCAAAGTTTTCGTCTTTGGAGGAGGATGCGAAGGAGGTACGTATCTATACTACACTTCTATATGGTTTCCACCTCCCTCCCTACTTTCTTTCCATCTGGCGAAGGGTCCTTCTCGTTTGTTTTAACGTCTTTGTCCGAGACTTCCACTGTGGATAAGTCATTCCTCGAATCTTCTTGTCTCACTGTGCCTTGGATCTCGTCTCTTGAAGTGTTTGCATTGTTTTATGCATGGTCTTCGATGGTTTGAGAGCTCACGTTCATGCTTTTAGACTTTCACGGTCTTTCGCTGTGGTTTAAGTCATTCCTTGGATCTTCTTGTCTCTCGCCTTGTTTCAATGCATGAACTTCGATGGTTGTAACGCTCAGGAAAGCTGCTTTTGGCATTTGCAGGGAGAGCTCTAGGCGACACATGGATCGCGCCACTTCCCAGCAACACCCTGCTCACCGGCATCCACTGGCAGCTCCCACGCATCCAAAACCCGCCGGCTCGATTCGGGCACAGCTGCGTCTACCTCGAGGACGTTGGCCTCCTCGTCCTCTTCGGCGGCATCAGCGACACCGGCACCCGCTACCTCGACACATGGATCAACGACACCACCACCACCGCCGCCGCTAGCTCCTGGCACCTCCTCCCCGTCTCGCACTCGCCGCTGGCCCGGGGAGCTCACGCATGCTGCTACGCCGGCGATAAGAAGGTGGTGGTCTTCGGCGGCATTCGTAACGACGGGGCGAGGCTCCACGATACATGGGTGCTGGATCTATCCCAAGAGCCGCCCTCTTGGCGGGAGGTGGCGACGCAAGCTTCCCCCTGCGCGAGGTCGGGTCACACTCTCACGAGGATCGCCACCAACCGGATGGTCCTCTTTGGCGGCCGGGGCGCTCACTTCGAGGTCCTCAACGACGTCTGGCTGCTCAGCCTCCAAGACCAGCGTCCAACTTGGACGGAGCTCTCACGGACCATAACCGACGAGGCGCCGTCTCCCCGGGCCGGTCACTCGGCCTCGATCATCTTCGGCAACAGGATCCTGATCTTCGGCGGCGAGGACGCGCGGCGGACGAAGAAACGCGATGTGTGGGTGCTGGATCCCGAGGCAGTAGCAGCAGCAGCGCCATCCTCGTCGTCGCCAACTTGCTCGGAGAAGAACTACGGGCGGAAGTTTTGGAAGAAGCTGCGAGTACGTGGCCAGTCCCCGAGCCGGACGTCGTTCCACGGTGCCTGTAGCCTGGGGACGGGCCACGCCGTCCTCGTCTTTGGTGGCATGGTAGATGATCCGAGCTCGTCTGGCATAGTTTTTAACTCGGGCCTCTTTCTTCTCCAGCTCATTCCTTGAGTGTAAGTCTCGGTTGGCTCTCGTTTTGTGCATGTAGATTTGAGTTCCTCTATCATGTAGATTTGTTGTTTGTTCTTCTTCTTTATATGCATTGCTTGATCAGTGCTATCTCGGGCCATTCGTCTTGTTTGTTGTTTGCTGCTGCTAACCTTTCAATTCCGCAGTTGGTGTTGAGAGCGTTCATTCGCTCCCATTCTTTACTGATCCTCCTCTCTGGCAATGAAAGCGAAGTCGCACTTGTTGTATGCCACCCAATGTTTAAAGTTTTTGCTCCTTGTCGTCTGTCTCGTGTCGCCGTGTTGTGTGAGAGTGTGTTTCTATGTGGGTTGTAATTTTCCGCTGTAAATCGTGTCAGCCCTCAAGAGAGGGGCCGGACTGCCGATTGCACGACAAGGTTGGATTGAGCCTGGGAATGCAAGCGCGCGTTTTCAAAACAAGCAAAAAGATTTTCGCACAAACCTGTAGCGCGCCATCCCCTTGCAAGTTTGCGAGGCTTGTTTCGATTCTCCGTATGTTCCTTCTCAGCCCGCGTTCGTGCCAGCACTCGACCACAAGGCGAGCTGCTGTTCCAATTCCTAAAACCACTAAAACTCCTGCGCAAGGATAACGGTATTAACGTTGTAACAACAGGATAGATAAGCAGAAGCTGTTACCGATTATGATGTTCACAGGAAGAGCGGAAGCTCCAAGAAAAATCGAAATGAGTACGTCAAAGAGTAGCCCCGCTATCAAGATGAGCAATGCAGCCCAAAGAGGATGGAAGCGGGCCTGCAAAGCCGGCATGGATGAACAGATCGGTCATTTTGAGCTTTAAAACAATGATCGCTTACCCCACCACTTCTTCTTGGCGTGTAATTCCGGCTTCCTCGGTTGATGCCAAGCCTCCACACCCAGAAATGTGGCTGGATAACACAAAGTTGACCGTGAGATGGTGGTAGGACAAGGAATTAAATAGCACTTCGACATACCGCGGCTTGTGCAGGAGGAGCAGGGACATTTTCAGCGACGTGCCTGAGAGCAGTGAGTGAGAATTACTCCAAACAATCGAGATGAAAGTCTACTCTCGCGACACTGAAAGAACTACAGGAGCACCTACTGGCAAATCTCGCATTTATTGGTGCCTTTGTTGCCAAACCACTGCTCAATGCAACTGCGATGCGCTCGCGAGAGCTCACCGCGGCAGTGGCACCCGAGCTCAATCAAAGGCTCCTCGGCATGCTGCTGACAGATCCTGGCATAGATAAAGTCTTTGCGTCACAAACAAAAGAACTGGACGAAGAAGTAGAAACAAACGAAAGAAAGAAAAGCGAAGCGACGTACCTGCAGCAATCAGCGAAACTATCCGTGCTAAAAGAGCTGGGACATCTGAAGATTCCTTGTTCTTCGCCAGGCTTGCTGGGTACTCCACTCCGATCTGCGGCGGTGGTGCCACCACCAACATCCTCACCGCCATGAACAGGAATAACGACCACTTCCACGCTCCCAATCTCGGCATTACTATCGCCACCCGATGGATGATCGTCCGAGGTCGATGGGCCACTCGCGGTTGTAGTAGTCGAGTCGAAGCTCTCTACAGCTACCCGAGTTTCGGCCTTCTCCACAGTTTCCACAGCTTGCAATCTCTTGTCGTCAAAAGTAGTCTCTTTAATCACCACTGTGCTGGAATCTTCATCCTGTGTCGCTACTCCATCTTCCTCGGGGCAGACCTTGCGCTCCATGCCCAATTTCATTGTCATGCCCACGATCCAATGCCTTGACCTACCTCCAGCCCCCAAAATCCATGCCGAAATCCCCCTGCCGAGGAACCTAGCTAGAATTCCCTCGATCCCGGCCCCAAGAACTTCCCCGGCCGCGAAATTTCACAATTCCCCACGGCGCATCGATGCCGGATTCCATCCAATCGCTTGATCCTACGAGCGAGAGCCACAAAATGTACCGGAGATCGCCGTCGCCGCCCTGCGCCACGGATTAAGCTCCCAGGAGCGCGCAAGGTCGGCGCCTAGAGCGCCGCCGCGATCGATCGATCAATCTTTTCTCGCGGAGCTAGCGTCAAGAAGACGCGCACGCGCCGCTCTCGCTCCTCTGCTTGGAACGGAGGAACAGTGGGGGCAAAAAAGGTTAAAAGGGGTTTAACTTTATTTCAAACAGTGAAAGGTGAAAGAGCAAATGGTATGTAAGTAGAATCCACCGTATAATACGTCCACGTCTCTCGAATTGGTTGAGAAATTTGCATCGATTTGACGCTTCCTTTTCCCGTTTTCTTCTTTTATTGTAAATCTCCAGGCTCGAGCGAGAATCCTTCTTCCAGTGGATCAATCCAAATCACGCAGCAACTCGGATGTAATCGATCGCGTTTCTACAAATGCCAGTCATACTTGCCTCGGGTCCAAAAACCTGCGAGACAATCCTCGTGAAAGTCAGTAAACAATGCTTTGTCAAGGATCAAAAGGAGGATTTTTTCCTCTAGACTTACTTCGATCGGGATGCCAATATCCCTGCCAAGTGTTCTCATCCTTTCCAGGCCTTTCTGGTAGTTTGGGCCCCCTCGCCTCACGAATATGTGCACCTTTGCGGCTTTCAGCTGGGATTCCTGCGGGAATGAAAAGCGAGAATAAGAAACAATAGAAAAAAACAAGAGAAAATGTTTTACCTTCTCGCGGAGCGCGCGGATGATACCATTAAACGTTGCAGCGACGTCGGTGAAGTTGGCTATGCCGCCACCGATGAGCAACGCTCGGCGGCGTCCGTCTGGATTCGCAGTGACGCACTGCAATGGAACAACTTTGACTGGGAATCGCTATGAAAGTGAGAAGTTCTTACGTCAATTAAAGCACGAGCATAGTGTAGAGTCTCCTCCTCGCTTGGCGCTCCACTGTACTCGGCGTAGTTTCCCAGCTCGTGAGCATAACCGAGGTCACCAACCTTCGATTAACGACAATAGCTTTAGACAAAAAAAGGAAAAAAGAAGGAAAAATTACTGTGTCGGCATAGATCACACTCGCGCCACCGCCAGCGACCATTGTCCAAATGCGACCTTTCGGATTTAGTATTGTCAGCTTTAAAGACGCACCAGTCTGAACAAAACAAATTCGAGTCATCAGAAGACTAAGGAAAGAGAGGAAGAAGTCTGACCTTTTCATCCATCTTGTGGATTGACTCCTCAGCAGGTGTCATCACTCTGCCAAATGGAACTGGAAATTCCACATTGCCCCACCTGCATGACATCACAAGTGTCAGCATATAGCAAAAGATGTGGCAGTATACTTCTGGAAGTTTTTGAAGAGAGCTGTGTCATCCAACTCTCCACGCATGTCCAGAGGATACGGTTCGCCATTCACCAAAGTGAAGGGATTCATCTCGATCAGAGAGAAGTCCAAGTCTGAAAAAGAAAAATTCGCCTTGTAAATAAGAATGCAGGCTGTTTCATAAGGCAGTGCACCTTGAAAGACGCTAAAAACTCCTCTTATGAACGTCTCAATCTTGCCACGAATCTGCATCAAGCACCTGTTTCCTCAGAAATATAATTGCAAGACTTTAAACTTGGAAACTTTGACCTCTAATGGAAGCGTGGCAATAAGCGGTGCACAAGTTTCCGCAGTCAAAGGCTGTTCTGTAGGCACGAAAACCGTCTTGACCTGGGAAAGAAGAAGAAAACATCAATTAGGCAACTAGCAACAAACACACCGCAATTGAAAGTATTAAACAAGCTACCTTTTCCCAGTTTTCCTCGATCTCGATGCCTCCACACTCAGAAAAACTAATCTCCACACCAAGACGATGTGACACCAGCGAAAGGTAGAACTCACTGTCGTGTGGAATAAACGGTTCCACAATGAAAGTTGTGATGGGGGCTTTGGTTCCGTCCATCTCAACCTCCCTGCCCAGCCTTTCCTTGACAAAAGCCTCGACTCCGGCCAAGTCCAAGTTTAGAGCCACCTAAACCACCAAGTCTTGTGTCAACTTCTCTATATGACCAAGAAGGATAAATTGACAAACTCACCAGCCCACTCTTTCCACGCTTGCCAAACAGCATGTCTGGTTTCACGACGAGCCTGGTCGAATTGAGCCATGGTTCCTTGTCAGCCAAGGCGTCGAAATCGGTATCTTGAGTCACCTATCAAGAGCAAAGCAAAAGAAAACGATAGAGTAACGATGCAATTTGAAAAACACGACAAGAAATAAATTCTACCTGCGCGGAATGGAGCGCCAAATCGATGCTCGCCAATCGCTTGAGGTGCTGCTTGAGCAAGCGCTTGGAGTCATACTCACGGATCTTCTTCCTGGCCATGGCGCTAGTGCTGCTGATGCATCAACCAATCGATCAATCAATCTATCAGCAGCATTCCAGACCGAAATTTCGCGAGATTTTCACGACACAAGCGCAGGAATGCAGCATCGGCACGAAGATCTAGCAATTCCAGAAGAGATTTTGGAAGAGATTTCGGCAATGGAGCGACGAATCGAGATCAGCTCAGCGAATCGACACGCAAAGGAGATGAGCACGCAAGACGACCGCGATTCTTACCTGGGAGAATGGGCGCCTTCTTCTCACCTAACCCGCCCTAACAACAAAAATAAGCAAACCTACACTTTGATTTTAAATAGCTAGGCTAGAGAAGAATGAAACAAATTGTCTCGCTCCAGAGAGTCGAGCGCTGTCAATCATCTAATTCGCTAGCTAACTAGATCGAGGCAAATCTCTCAAAATGTGGATCCATCGATCGGCTCGATCACTGCGATGGATAGACGCATGTCCCATAACCTGGAAAAAGAAAAAATAACCAAGAAAAAAAACACATCAAATCCATCGAAACTCCATCGATCGATCGATCGATCGAGCGAGAAACCCCAAAACTTACTTGGATCCGACACCGTGAGGAGCGCATTGTTGTTAAAGTAGCAGTTCCAGAAGTTCCGCCCGTGCTTGTGGAAGTAGCTGTTGAACGCAAACGACGAGTGCGACTCGAGCGTGTCCGGCTGGAAGCAAGCGCCGCTCCCTTGAATCGAGCCGCAATCCGCGCCGCCCTCGCCGCACGCGAAATTCAGCGCCGCCTCCAGCGATCCCACGGGCGACCCGGGCTTGGATATACACCAGATTCGCGGCCCGGTACCACCACCGCCACCACCACCGCCGCCACCGCCGCTAGGAGGCTGGTAGCTCGGTGGCGGCTGGTAGGCCGGCGTTGGGGGAGGCTGGTAGACCGGCGTTGGGGGAGGCTGGTAAGCCGGCGTTGCGGGCGGTACCTGGTACAGTGGCGGGCTGTGGTAGTAGGGCGCCGGCGGGGGCTCGTCTGGCGAGGGGTAGGGATGAGCTGGCGGCTGAGGTGGCGGCGGCGGGAACACGTTGGCGTAGCGCTGTCCCCCCTTGAACAGCCCGATATCATACACCACCGACATGTCGGGCTTGAAGAGGCCGAAGTTGCGCTCGGTGGTCGGGCCGGGCTTCTGGTTCTCGTTGAAGAGCGCAAAGATGTACGTGTCCATGAGCTTGCCGTGTCGCATGGGCGTGCCCATGGACGTGACGTGGGCGATGAGGTTGCGGTTGTAGACCATGGCATTGTTGACGCTCACGCCAAACTCGGTCGGGTCGCCCGCCGACGGCCACCCGGTCTCCGACACCACGATCCCGATGTCCTGGAACCCTAATTTCGCCATGGCCGAGTACACCGCGTCCACCTGGGCGTCCATGAGGTTGTAGTAGCGCAGCTTGGTCTTTGGATCCACCACGCCGGCGTTTGGGAGGAAGAGGGCGTAGGCGAGCGTGATGTTTAGCGGCGAGCTCTTGTACGCGAAGTAGGGGTATGTGTTGACCATGAACGGCGACCCGGTTTGACTGAGGAACTGGAGCATGGGCTTGATGACGTGAGAGACCAGGTCCGTACGGAATGCGCCCGAGGAGGGCGGGTAGCTGGAGGAGAGTACGGACAGCGAATGCGGGGTGGAGACCTTTACCTGGTTGTCGATCCGGAGCGTGACCAGCGCCGAGTGGATGTTCTGCATCACGGGCACGATCCAGCCGTTGATCTGGTCGTCGTTCCCGGCCAGAATCTCGTTGCCGACCAGGATGGTCCGGATCTGCGTGGCCGGGAGGTAGCACGCGACGTTCTCGTTGACCCATTTCTGGGCGGCGTGGGCGTCGAGTAGCGAGTGAATCTGCTCGTTCTTCACCATCACCGTGAACTCGATGCCGGTGTTGGCGAAGGCCTCGATGATGGCGGCATTGGTGTCGTAGATCTTCACCTTGGTGATGGTGGTGGACTGGACGAGCTCGCGGACCCTCTGCGGCGTCGGGAGGTTGTTCCCGAGCTGGCCGTAGTTGATGCCGATGTTGCTGTAGGTGCAGCAGGGATTCGCGGAGGGAGCGCTGGGAGGAAACGCTGCAAGAGAAGCGATCGATCATGAAGCTCAAGCTCAAGCTGTGAATCCAAGCAATGCCATTCTATTGCAATGCAGCAGGAGAGATTCCAAGAGTGGGACTTACTCGAAGAGATCGTAGAGAAGGACGTGAGTAGCAGCAGTGTGGCGAGGAGAAGAGCCGGCGGCCTCCTCTTTTCGCGAGCCCCTGGCGCCATAGCCCGAGCTCGATTGGAAGAAGAGCTCTCTATTCTATCCTAGACAAGAGAAAAGAGGGAGAGCTCTGCCCTCTTCTCTTCTTCCTTTCGAACAGAGAGAAGAAGGGCTAGGATCTCACTGTCCGAAAGAAGAGCTCCCCTTCTCTCTCTTTCTTATGTACGCTCCTCTGCCATTAAATGCAGGTGTATGTGGAAGCGTACGCTTTTACGATACACATACGGTCGGTCGTATGCTTGGGTAAAAGAGAATCTTACCCCAAAACACAAAGGCTAAGCGCGCGGCGACAAGGAGATTTCTCCACACTGATGGTACGAAGGGTAGAATCTAGCCACCCCCGAGTGTACGGAAGCGCGGGGAAATCCATCATTTGGAATCAAAGTAACTTTTGAGTATCGTGTGTTGGTAAAATTTTGTTTCACAAGAAAGCGAAGATCCCTCTTTCTCTTTCCTTTTGGTCTTTTGATAGATTTGGAAAAGCTTGAAGAGTCGGATTTGCGTTTGGATTGGCCAGGAAAGCTGCGCGTACGGCATTAAACAATGGAGTACGGAAGGGGCAGTAACAAATCGGGCAATTACACGATACTCATGAAAATTACGTGACAAGCGCGCACCCATTGCCACGCCCCTTCCCTCATCTAGTCGTTTGATAAGAACAAAAGGATAGTAATATTTTTTACTGTCATAGTATAGAGGGCCCTATAGAACAGTGCCACAATGTGGGACCTTACACAACGGCTCTTAGAAAAATGTACTCTTTGTGGATAGTAAAAACCATGACAAAGACCCTCGGTAAAACTCGACTCGAGCATGTCATATCATCCTTCTCCTGACACACGCTGGCAGCTGACATGCGAGGCAGGGGCAAAAGTAGTCACAGGTTCGAACCTCCTCTCACAAACCGACAAACGTACCAGAGCTCAACTCTATATCATCACGTAGCCTGGTACTTGCAGGCTCCATAACCTGCGAGATTCCACCCGAATCAAAAGATCCACTTGAAGAACATCGATGAGAAACTTACTTGGGTCTGTGATGGACAGCATTCCAACTCCAGCGAAGTAGCAATTCCAAAAGTTCCTGCCGTGCTTCTGGTAGTACGCATTGAACGCGTACGAGGCGTGCGAGTTGAGCGTCTCCGGCGTGTAGCATCCGCCCCCTCTTTGGATCGCCTGGCAATCCGCGGACCCTTCTCCACACGCGAAGTTCAACCCCTTGAGAAGCACCGAATCGTCGGCATTGGGCTTTGCAATGCACCAAATGTGCCTGTTCGTCGACCGAGGAGGTGGAGGAGGAGGAGAGCTCGGACTGGAGCTCGGACTCGGAGAGCTCGGACTGGAGCTCGGGCCCGGAGAGCTCGGACTCTTTAACAGCCCAATATCGTACACCGCTGTACCGTCCGAGGTGAAAAGCCCATAGTACTGCTCGGACACCGGCCCCGGCTTCTCGTTCTCGTTGAAGAGCGCGAAGATAAACACGTCCACGCTGGCGTTTGGGCGGGCCGGGGTGCCCACGCCGGACGCCACGTAGTCCACAAGGTTGCTGACGTAAGCCCGGGCGTTTGTGAGGTTCGCCCCCGGCTCGTCACTGGCACCCCGGGACGGCCACCCGGTCTCGGAGATGGTCACCGCCACGTCATGGACGCCCAGCGCCTGCATTGCCGCGTACGTGGCGTCCAGCTGGGCGTCCAGAAGGTTGGTGTAGCGCAGCTTCGTCCGGGGGTCCACTATGACATTGCCGGGACGCAAGAGGGCGTAATTCAGTGACACGTGGGCGGGATCGTTATGATATGCGAAGTAGGGGTAGGCGTTGATCATGAGCGGCGAGCCGGTCTTGGAGAGGAATTGGAGGAGGGGGATTATGACTTGGAGGAAACTCGGGCGGAAAGTCCCCGAGGATGGGGGGTATGACATGGCGAGGACGGCGAAGGAGTGGGGAGTGCTTATTTTGATGCGATCGTGGAGGCCGAGCGACGCGAGCGCGGCGTAGACATTGTTGATGCACGGCATGAGAAAGGAGGAGAAGGATCCATTGGCGATGGTGAGAGCTTCGTTGCCCGCGGCGATGGCGATGATGTTCGTGTGGGGGAGGAAGGCGACGATGTGCTGCTTCACCCAGATGGCCGCGGCGGTGGGATTGCTGCCCAGCGATTCCAGCTGCTCGTTGGGGATGCCCACCACGATCGAGACGCCGGAGCCCGCGAAGGCGTGGAGGACGCTGGCGTCGGCGTCGTAGAGCTTGATCCTGGCGATGGAGGTGGAGGAATTGACGAGATGGGCGACCTGATCCGGCGATGGGAGATTGTTTCCAAGCGTCCCATAGTTCACTCCCACCACTGACGTTGCTTCTACCGATCGCCCAACTGAGAGAAAAGCATCCATCGACCGATCGAAAGATAAAAAAGGAAGCTCTACCTTGGATGACGAACAAGACGATTGCGATGATGATCACTCCTCTCGACATAGGCGCTCGTGGCATTTTCTCGCGATAGAGAATAAGTAGAATATACCACGGTCATTGTCCATTGCTGCGTGTATTTACCTCGCGGCCACTGCCACGCTGTCAGCTACATTGTAAGAATCCCAAAGTAGCCCTCTTAACGGTCGGAAATTACACGAAGCCCTAATATTTTAGGGCAAGCCTAAGGGTGAAAAGGCCGGGTATATTCTCGCACCATTATGAAACTAACCACGGTTTGGAGAGTTTCGTAAGGAGCTGGCAGTTACTGTGACCACGAATGTGGTACTGCCACGTGTAGCATTTCACAGTGCTGTGAAATTGGGGGTTTGGTTGTGGAAATTAGGGCTCTTGGATGGACTGGAATGGCTCGTGCTGGACACTCGGTTAGAAGAAATCAAAGCAAGAAGGGGAGGTTACCAGCGGTTATTTGTTTTGATTTTGCAGAGAATGCAAGCAATCCACACCCGGCACCGTCACCTCAACTCGTGGAGCTCGAGAAAGCTTTGGCTGCGGCAATAGACAAGGTAAAAAGGAAAACGATATCAAAGAAAACCCCAAAGAAGCTCTGGTTCGATCCAAAAGCTTTTGCTCTTCTTCTTTCCTTGGTTTTCTATTCTAGCTTTGTTGGTCAGACGGAAACTCTCTTTCGCGTGTTTAGATCGAGCAAGGCGAGCAAGGTGAGGCGCTTCTTCCAATTGTTTCCACTACATCCTGGATTTTGATGGATAGACTTTCCAGGAGCAGCAAGCGAGGTCAAGCGATTCGGAGGCACACACGAGATGCTCCGGAGTATCAATCGAGACGAGGAGTCGAAGGAACAGCAGTCGAAACTCGCGACGGCAAAGCCTCCAGGTTTGAGAAGAACGAGAGAAAAACTCCATACTGTTTACTTTCTCCAATCCAGGACGATGAGCACCAATCCAATGGATCCGGAGAGGGTCTGTTGCTCGCTGTGAATAAGTTCCTGTCCGCAAAAGAAGCCCACCAACATCACCACCACCACCACCATCACTGAACACTCAGAGGAGAACGAAGCTCTCTCGACTGTAAAAATTAGGAGCAAAGAAACACAACGCAACTCACAACAAATACGCGAGGCGGTACTTACTCGAGTTCTTTGCTGGGAGGAAAAACTTATAAAACTTATCACTGTTTCATTTCCTTGCAAAGCTTTGAAAGAGTAGAATCACTGTCCCCTTCCCTGATAAAAACAATGGAAAGGGATTAGTGAGCACTGTCAAAACTATCTCAAAAGCTTACCAGGCGATTGGTTCCTCGTTCCCTGTAGTTGCTTTGCCTCGAAGAAGGAATTGAGTTACGGGAAAACGAAACTATGTTATGTACGTAGCGAATGCAACAATGGCAACGAGAGTAAAGCGTCTCTCCAAGAAAGAAAGAAGCCATAGCATGAAACTACAGGAAAGGGAAAAATTTACCATTGCGTTTCCTTCTTTGCTGTACTGTGACTTCAGAGGTTTTGTTGGAGTCCTTGCTTGGGAGGGACGATTGCACGAAACACTCCTTCTTTCCGCTCAAGCTCCCGCATTCTCTTGGGCGATGGCGGTGGCGAAAGCTCTGGAGGAGAAGACGCATGCGACGATGCTGCTCCCTCTCGGCGTGTTTTTATCGGGGGAGGCGCTTTGTCGAAAGCATAGCCCTGGGAGCAAAAGGACGAAGGCAAAAACGTATCAAACTTGCAAAGAATAATATGAAAGTTCCCCGCAACGCAGAGGAATACAAGTATACAAACCTCTACAGGGCGTTTCCCGGGAGACGGCGATGTTGTGTCATCGTCTCCACTTTGAGAGTTTGCTTTGTCCACGGCGCATTTGCTAGCCTCATCAGATGACTGCTGCGTTAAAGAAGAAACAACGTCAGCGTGTCGCTGTCGGCGAGCTATTTAATTCAAAGCGAAAGTTTTACCGGAAAATCCTTTGGATGTGCCGAGCTCTCTCCTTCGACATCACTCGGGCCATCGGGCTCAGTCGAAGTGTGATCGCCTGGAAAAACAACGACACGCACCAACCAAAAAATCGAAATTCTTCCTCTCGAAAAAACGCAATTTTTCTACCTCCTTCAAGGTCCTTGGATGGCTTTGCTTCTTTTTTCGTCCCCTCCATGCTCAATTGTCGCTAAAACCAGAGGCTTTAGAGGAAACTAGCGTGCAAGAAAGCCCAAAAAAAAGGGGAAAATTGTTTTCTAGAAGAAGAAAAAAAAAAACCAGAGAAGCTACCTCAGCTCGATGGCAGCAGCATTGTGAACTAGCCAACTCCGGCCATTGAGTGTTGGATCTTTCCGGCAAAGGAGCTCCCTCGGGAATGCGGCTATCCTGCGAATTCAGTACCTTCAAAGCCCTAGAGCAATCACCACTCAAAACCACCCTCTCTCACTCACACACACAGCAAAGCCCAAGCGCTATGGCCTGCCCAAGAAGACGATCACTGGCCAGACCAAGCACCAAAATCCCGACGAAGGCGCCATGACACCATAACCCAACTCACCCAAGCCTGACGAGACCCTCTCTCTCTCTCTCTCTCTCTCTCTCTCTCTCTCTCTCTAAAGGACCCTCCTTTCCACACCGCTATAGCAAATAGCAAACCAACGGTTCCGATGCGGTGGCACCGGACGTGGCGAGCCACACGCCGTTGATTCTTGCAAGATCGTGGGAGGTCACTCTTTTCTCTCGTGGATTTCAAGGGAGAATGCCTGCCTCAAGAACAGACAGATTGATACGAGGATTATAAAAAAGATATCCACTTATCTGGAATGCAGCCAGCCAGTAACGATCGCATCCAGAATTTAAAGGGCTGCCAGATCTTGCACAAGCCGTTTTTCGTCGAAGAGCTCCCGCCATTAAAACACCAGACGGAGATATGGATTGTTCTTCCCCCTTCGCAGCACTGTGTATGGATCAATCAGTCTGTCCAAGAAAGGCGTTATGAGAGTTCGCGAGGAAGGCAAAAGGTGGAAAGTTTTTAATCCAGGTTACCTTGAGCATCGCCCTCGTTCTTCTTCGGCTCCACAATGAGCTTCTCGCCAGGTTTCCTTGGAAACCTCACACTTGGCGCCTTGTCAATGCAGCTAAAGAAGTACTCCACATCATCGATCGTCCGGAGATACTCATTCTGGAGTACAAAGAAGAACCGATGAGAGAATCAACAGCCGCAGAAAAATCTCACCTTCACTGCCTTGAACCACTCCTTTTCAAAATCTGGTCGCGAGTTAAAAGTTCCTAGAGGTTCTCGGTACCAATCAGCCTGGTAAGTCAAGGCGTCCATAACTTTCTCAATATTGATGAAATCCTTTGGCCGCAGAGCGGGACACAGCTTCATAAGTTTCTTCCTGTGGCAAGACAACAGAAAACGTTTCAACTGTACTTGGCGCGAATCAAATAAAAGCTCACCTCATGTGGTAGGAAATGAATTTGTCCGGCATTGTTTCCGAAAACCTGTTTAAGTGGTCTGAGAGCTGAGAGCCACCGGCCCAGAGGAAGACAGTGTGTGTAGGCTCACGCTCTCCAGGCCAAACACCTCCATTTAGCCTCAGCACTGCCCTCTGCCGCTCACGGTCCTCGAGAGCCTCGTTCTGGAGCTGCTGGAGAGTCTTCGGCTCGTGTCCTTTCCTCGGAGTAGTCAGTGGAATGCCTCTAGACAGCTTGTAAACCAGAGCCAATCCTAGAGTAACCATCTTGACTGCATACAAGAGAAGATGAATGGAAAGCTACGAAAAAGGAGGATATAACTTACTGTCCCAGCGATTGATGCATCGTTCGAGACCATAAACCATCCCAATTGGAGCCCATTCGTCCATATCCTCTCCCCAGATAAATGTGTTCTTGTCGATCAGGCCACCAGCCCATGCAGTTTGCATGTTGACAAGCTCCATCGGACCTCTTGTCCTGCCAAGGCGATCCTTATAGTACCATCCTCCCGACCTCATTGTGACTGGAAAACCAAAAAGAAAATGTTAAGAGTAGAAAGAGCGGACATCATTCATGGTGAAAACTCGCAACACAATAAGCAAAACGCTGAGAAGAAACTTAGAGATCACTTACACACGACTCTCATACAAATAACACGAAGTATCTCATTGTGACTGGAAAAAAAATGTAAGAATAGAAGAAAAGCGCATGATAAAAAACCTCCAAAAAGCAAAACGCTGAGACGATCTAACAAAGAAACTGAGAGATCACTTGCACGACTCCCAGCAAAATACCCACACACGACTCCCAGACATAAAACACGAATCCAGTAACTAAAGATCCTTTCAACGTTTGCAAGGTCAAAGAACTCAAAACAAGAAAGAGGAAAAAGAAAAACTAGGAAGCGCAGAGAAAGAAGAGCGAGAACTTACAGTCCGCGTAGCGCTTGTGGAGCCACTTGAATCCAAAGGCCTGTTGCGCATCGATGGGACGATCGGGAGGATAAGGCCGCTGGCGATACCCCCACAACCCAAACAAGTGCTCCTTGAGAAAATCCATGATCCTTCCGGCGGCCTCATTCTCCCCGCTGAGCGCCTTCCTCACCAGCGGGATCCCCCTCGGCCCAGGAACTGGCGGCAAAGATCTCCACATCTTGGTATCCTCCTTTCTCGCCGGAGTCGAGTTCCTCTCCATCTCCAGCTCTGTCCATTCCTTCTCCAGCTGCAAGCACCGCTGCTCAAACTTATACTCGAAGCTATTCTCCCAAATCTCCTTCATCTTGAGCGCCTCCTCGCGCTCCTCGGGATTCATCTTCTTGAGGGCGTGGCCGAAGGGATCCTTGACGCGCGCCATCTCCTCTTCCACCTCAGGAGATTTGGTGTAATCCGGCCTGTTCCTCACCTCCCAGCGGTAGCGCTCCATCCGGCGCTTCATGTCGTCGGGATGGATCGGGTGCCGCGACTTCCATTCCTCGATCGTCTCGTTGGCGAGCTCGCGCAGCGTCGCCGGCGGCTTCTTCTTCCTCCTGCTCTGCGGCGGAGAGGCGTCGGATCCAGCGCCACGCCGGAAGAAGGGGATGGGAATGCCCATCCCTGCCGCAAAACCCTAAAATGTGGGGTTTATAAACCTTAGCCTTAAATGGGTAATCATTCTAGCTTGGGATTTCTACAAGAGTGTGTACTCCACAAGCTCGTGAATGATCTCAAATGAGGTGGTTAGGGCATGACATGGATTAGACCAAGTGGCACAATTACAACGCATGCTAAAGGATAAGATTGGGAAGCAGTGTTTTGAGGATTCTGTGTTTAATAGCATTTCTAGAGTATAAGAGTGTTTTGTTGCTTACTTACTATTTTGAGTGTGGCTTGGATTGGTGAGCTAGAGACTAGGTGACAGATATTTCACACCATATGGCTCGAGTGACAAGTTTGTTCTGTGCACATTCTAGGGCAGTACAAGATATTTAAACTATTACTGTACATCAAGAAGATAAAGAGTGATTCATAATTTATTAACATTAGATATAATATAATATATATGAAAGAAGTAAGAACGCAAAACATGAGGATTTATATTTTAATAAATTTATATATATATATATATATGAAAAACCCAATATTGCATGCAAATGACTATAAATCAGAAAAAGTAGAACATTTTTTTAAAAAAAGAATGGCAATGTCATTTGTATCACTAGAAAAAATAAAAAGAAATTACAGATAATAAATTTACATAGAAAACCTGGAATAAATATACAAAAGTTCATAAAAACTATATACAAAAAATAGATAATAAGAAACCAATAATAATTACAGGAGATTTCAATATTGACTATCAGAAAGAAGAAGCAATAATGGAGAAAGAAGGATACATATAAATAATAAAATACATACACATTATAAGAAACTAATAGATCATATATGGATGAAAGATATAATATATACAAAAACATGGATAGCACCAACATACTGGACAGATCATAACAAACTATATATCATAATAAAAAATATTTTAAAACAAAATTAGATAAAAGACAATCTTCGTTGTGGTGAAATCATAAGAATGATTATAATATTTTGAATTTTAGAGGGTATTTCATTATTTTATTTAAAAAAAATAATATAAATACTTAGCAAACAATTGCTATTTTTAAATTACATAGATTGTAAATGGACAAACTCCAAACTATTGGAATATAGATGTATTAATCTAACATTAGCATAAATAATTTCTCTGTAATATCCACCAAATAGTGTTTGGATAATGTGCTAAGGAAATT